TTTGTTAATATCTATACTTTAAAAAAACTATCTATCAACTGATTTTATTTGAATCAAAAATATTAGTGAATTTTCTCTATTCCAAAATTCCAAAATTCGCTTTTATTAACAAAAACATTAATATAACGAGGTATTTAGGAAGTGATTTTTAACAGTAAGAGATAATCGTTGTCACGGTCGATTGGACTTCGATTGGTTTGGCCGGAAAACAATTTAATATACCATACAAATACGCAGCGTTATTTTCGCCTAAAAAATATGTCAAGATAAGCATAAAATCGTTTTATTTTTTCGGATTTTTGGACGTAATTCGAGGCATAAATAATATCCATGATCGTTATTATTAACGTTTCGGGTTTTGTAACAAATTTTGTACATTGTAACTTTTGGCTCTTCCGTCAAAAAAGGTTGCCGACCCCTGGTGTAGAATAATAATTATTGTCTATTAGCAGACATACGTTTGTCATGACATCTAATTGGTTATTTTGTTTAGCTAAAATAACACCTCAAATTGATTATACTCGCGTTGCCGGAAAATAATGCATATAGGTACGATAATAATAATATTGCTATTACCGATATAGCATAATGCATGATTTTATGGCCGTATGCACGTCACGACAACTGTTTAATACGTACGGTCTGGGTACGTAAATACAAAATTCGTTTATAAAGAATTTTGAATCAAATATATCGAATGATGTGATTTTACTAAATGTGTTCAACGTTTATAAACAAAAAAATATTTATAATATACACACTCATATAAATATATAAAGGGTCGTGAATTTTTCCATTTTTCCTACAATACTTCCATTTGTTCTCAATTATCATGTAAACTGATTCGAAAATCAAAAAATGACCTTAAAATATCACCCAGAAAAAATTATCCTCTCAAGAAAAGTACTGACATTGATAAATTTCAATGTATGTGCGCGTATTGCGTAGAAAATATGCACAAAATTTGTATTTTTGTTCTCTTAAAAATGTCTCACCAACTAAACCTCATTTTTGGATTGAATTTAAAGTAACTCAAAGGATAATCGAGTCAATAAGTTTGTATTTTAATTCATTCACAACTTTTATCACCAGATATATGGATACATGTTTAATTTCTAAAATGTAGGAATCTCTTGGTACATATATAAATGTTTATAAATGAGTTTTCTAGTATTTCCAAAACGAATCAATGATCATACCAATATAGAAAATACAATAATTTGAAAAATTATTGCATAGAGCTAGATGTTATTTAAAATAATTTATCTAAAATTTCCCTGCAGACCTGTATATTATTAAAAAGGGCAACAGTGTATTTAAGGAAAACAAATTAGGCAACTTATGTGACAGGTACACATGAGTGATGCCAATGTGTGTGTGAGAAGTAAATGGACATTTAATTGCAATCTGATTAATGTATAACCACTTCTCATATCCTATAAGCCAGTTATTGTATAGACCAATGAAGCAAATGAGCCAAGGAAGCACATTGTAAATAATATTTAAGAATGCGAGCACAGCGGTAACGGGGCAATACGGGTTTTCGGAAATACGTAGAGACCCGATTTTTTATGTTTGTTTTTTATTTTTAATAAGGAGGTTTTGAATAGCTAATACGAAAAATCGTTTATTTTTGAGAAACCACAATAAGTAGCCTTATTCCGGGTCTGATCTATAACCGATTAATTTATGATCGCTTGAGTTCTCAAAAATAGGTAGAGGTGTACCATCGAAAAATAGGTATACGACAAAGTAGTATATTGGTATAATGGTATCATAGACCTATTGGTGATATCCTAGTTCGCAGATATCCAGTTTGCCGATACCTAATTCAAAAACCCGAAATCCCAAAATCCTAATAAATCAAATAAAATTAATTTCCTAGATACTACCCAAAAAAATGAAAAGACATATATGTACTTAAAAAAAAATTCATCATCAATTTACTCAAAATTCAAAATATAATATTTTATAAACTATACAAAAGAGAAAAAATTATTACACTGACAATAAATGATATCAATTATCAATTGGAAATTCGACGTTTGTCATTATCAAATAAGTTATATTGTTTGTTATCATTTTAAACAATTATCACCAAGATGCCGTTTCTACCGCAGTTATATATAACTAAATTAGTAACTAACAAAGTGATACCAACACAAAACAATTTCTAAACAATATTATTATGTGCGTTTCACTTCCCCTCCCCCCCAATAGAAGGAACGGAAATTTGTGTTCACGTCCCACATAAATAGGAACTTTTTCCCATTTCTATCGTTCCTATATTTGAAAGTAAACGCATTCTAAGTTTCGTTCCTATGAAAATAACGCACTCCGGGAATTCATTCCTTCTTAACACTGAATCCAAGGTACACGGTAACTAAATAACTTGCTATTTTGTTAGTTCTATAGGCACATGTTAATACGTGCGTGAAGTTAACCCTTACACTTTATTAAAACTAGTTAAAAATAGTGCCAGTACTTTACAAGTTATTAGCAAGAATTTGCAATTCCAATCCTAGAATTTGGCAAGTTAATAATAAAGGAGTTATTAAAGGTTGAACCAAGGGAAGCCCAACTTCACGCAGCCCTTGTGCTACATGTTGTCCTAGACACTACGAACCAATGACAAAACACTCGCTGTAATTTGCAAGAATTTGGAAAACCAATCACGCAATTTGCAAATCAATCCCCCACCCCCAAGAGCTCTCAAAGATTCTATACCCAGCCCTTATATGTTATCCTAGAATCTAAAAACCAATGTCGAAAAACTCGTTGTAATTTAATTTGCACGAAAAAGATATTTATGATTAAAGTTAATATTAATTTTTATTATAATATTAGTACTCATAAAAGTAATTAAATATATACATGGTTTAAGACGTTCATCAGATTGGCTTACCGACTATATCCAATCGATTTCGGACCAATTCCAAAATTTAGTAACCTTTTAGTAATTAGTTCTAGCTGACATCAAATAATTTGTAACTAAACAAATTTCCAAATTGAGTTTCCAAGAAAACTCAATTTCCATTTCAGAGAATAAAAATTTGATTGAAATCTCATTAACATCATGATACGATTTAAATACCCATGTATACTTTGCAGCACAATATTGGTAGACATCATTCCAACCAACTTAAAAAATGTTTTACTGCTTTTTTGGATAACTTTCAAATTTTGTCGGACATTATTTTTTGCCTTTTTTAGTTGCCCCACCCCCGAAAATTTACAATATATGCCTGTTAAACTAATTTATACAGTATGTAAATTAATTAAAAAATCAGTAGCAGTAATTTGAAAAACAATGCAGATTTTTTCAATGCATTAATAGCCTCCCATTGGTCTAAAATTAAAAAAATTCAAGAACCGTAAATATAATTTAAATTTATATTTAAATATATATTTAATTAATGATAGCACTTTTTCTGAGAGGAAATCGGACGGGTAAGGTACTTTAAGGACATCATTCTTTGATTTACCCAGGAGTTTTCTCAACAAATGTGAAAATCCAGGAAAGAACGGAGGAAAATGGAAAAATATACGAAAATAAATCTGTTATTATTTTCATTTTTTTTTTGTAATTCAATTAAAAATGTTTATAGAGATGTGCGTATTTGACATAATATTTATATTTGTATTGTTTAGACGCGTTAAAATTTTCAAAACATTTTTGAGCTTTTTCAGACATTTTAATTCAGTAGGTACTATGTAGATAAAATTGTTAGACTAAACAAAAAAGCTTGAATATTTGAAAAAAAGTTCATTACAAGTCATCCTTGTGGCTGAAAAAAAATGAAGTGTAAAGTTGTATTATTTTTTTAAAAATGAATTTTATCCAGTTGGTATTTTTAGGTTATTTTTTGAATCATAATATGTAGTATTTTAATATAGTGCCTGCACTCACTATTAAAAACACTGAAAATCCAAAACAAATTTAATTTAAACACAAATATTATTCGTAAACGCGTATAGGTACGTGCGATATTATAAGGACACCGGCTTGTGGTTTACGAAATATTGTTGTACAATAATGTTCCATTCCAACACGTAATATTCATCGTTATAATATTATACTCGTATATATGGATAATAATGACAAAAACAAAACTTTCAAAGACATCGGAATCTATATCGATAATTTACCGAGATTTTATTTCATTTCATCTTTGAACTTTTGGCCGACGATACGACGACGATAACTTAACATAACTGATTCGTATATACGGATAATTTTTGAGAAGTCGAATTTTTCTTATAGTGCGAAAAAGGCAGTTTCCTTTGTGCGCATCTTATTCGTATGCGTTTAAGAATAAGGCCCCCTGGTGTTAAAAATAAATGTATTTCAATTAGATAAAATTTAAATTTTATTACGCTCTCACTGCAATGATTAAATTTTTGAAAACAAACCCAAAGTGTGTATTTGGGTACCCCCGATCTTCCCGTCGCTCCCCAAAAAAATTCCCAATTTCAATTGAAGACCATTCAGCCTCAAAAATTGTTCGTGTTACCGATTAAGTGAAACGCACCGTATATTATACAAACATGAATTCACGGTGTAACAGGTATACGTATAATATATTAACCACTGTTCGAGTCTTAAGACGATCGTCCCGGCTGTACGCGAATAATCGAATAATACGCGGCACGCGGCCGATGGACCCGTTCGCTGTACTTCCAAGGACAAGTCGGTGTTCTTCGGCGTAAACCGCGGAAGTATAATATATTTTCCGTTGACGGGTAAAATGTAATTTTGTTTTTTTTTTTTTTTCTATTCTAAAACCAGCCGCACAACAATAATCAATTCATAATTAAAACACGTGCCGATACACGGCCGGTGTACGTACGGCGCGACGCGGGGCCCGACAAGACCGGTCGTCTTCGGCTACGCCGGCGAGGAGACTGCAGACCGCTGCGTCACAACGGCAGACGCAAAAAAAGCTGCCCGGTCAGGTCGGGTTAGGTAAACCGCGCGATTTATGTTGCAGCTGCGGTCACCGCGACATCCCGGCGGACTGGCGGGAGCGAAGCCGGTCGCACGCGAGCTTATTATAAATACGTATAGGCCTCGGAGTGTTTGGACCGGCCACGAGTCGACATTGATACGGTCGCGGTAACGGTGACGGACGACGGTGACGGCGACGACGACGACGGCTGGTATCGTGGGTATTACTATCGCCCGTTCTTCGTTTTTCGACGCGATTGTAGAAACGATTAGTACGATTAAACGATTGTAATATTACAGGTTTTCGTAATTTTTTTTTTTATTTTCCCGTCGTTCCGATTGTTCCGAAAAAGAAAAAAAAAACGCGCGCGGTTCTAGCGCGGTGGATTTTCGACCGTGTGTACATTACCTGTATGATAATATAAATTATTATTATACAACAGACGTGGGTGACCTCGTCCGTCCGCCTGTCCGCAGTCCGGTCGCTCAACCGTACGTATCCAAACCGCGGCGAGACCTTGCCGGGCAGCATAGGTAGTCCCGTGTCGACTTTGGCCCGTCCAGACTTTTCGCTCCCACAGCAGCATTCAGTAGTCGGTTTTTGATCGTTCAGCTTGGGTGTCGCGCTGCCGTCTTATTCGCAAGCCAACGAAACGTAAAACAATAACACCGAAATCCTTATAATATATATCGTTTCGTCCGGATCACAGTCGTTCCGGTGCACAGAAATTCTAGTAGATCCTGGTTGATCCGAGATACCCGTTGTAATACTATTACGAATATGGCCACGCAAACGTTAATGCTTCCCACGCAGGAAAAGTTGCACGAGATATACCAAGATTTGGGCATGGCCGAGGACAAGATCGACGTCGACGTGCAGATCCTTATGGAATGGATGCGCAAACAGTCACATCTGCCCGACCCCGAAGGTAATAATAAAGTTCTACATTGTGTCGGCCACAATGAAATTACGATATCATAACAAATACCAATAAAATATACCTGACAATCGACTGGACGTAACATTTTAAAATTTCTTTCAACGACTCCGATAGAAAAATCACAAATTTAATATTACGATAGCAGACATTCGTCAAAAAGGTACTCACGTAGACGATTTAAATTCGCGTTAAAATAATAATAATATTGCTCTTATGTCCTAGATTTGTAAACCGATTTTCGCGTGCGCTTTTGAAACGCATCAAAGACTGCGATACGGACAGGACAGAAAACAATAGTGTACATTACCTACGAGGAAAATAAAAAAATAAATATCGTCACATAACCGTGTCCTCACCTCTCCCTCTGCGTTTGGCATGAAAACGTTTAAAATTATCTCGATGGGCCTTTTTTTTTTTTTTTATCAAACCCTAAATTAAAACTAAACAGTGTCGATTAATTTATTATACATTTTTGTTCGTTATTTATTTTATGTAAACATTTTTTTTTTTTTTTTTTATATACTCCGATGCTGTTGTATGCTTTATTTGCGTAAATATAATAGGAGGGCTACTATTTGCATGAATTATAAATAAATATTATTTTTATACCTACGCGCAAAAATAAAATAAAAATTGTAGATTTAGTTTCAAATGCTTAATCCAATAAATACAAAAAAATCAAATATTTTACTTGGAATTTTTAATAATTTTATAGAAATGTTACTTTTTTTTTTTTTTGTTAATAATATTTTAATATTACAGTGAATTTGCCTTCAATCAAACTTAAAGGTGAAATTATTATCTGTGTTTATACGTTGGTTATTTTCTCGTTATTATAAATTTTAAGTGAGGTAAAAAGATTTTCAAATTATAACGAGTATTTCACATGGTCGGGTTTCGTTTAAAAATTAAAATATCAAAACTAAGAAAAGTATTTTTTTTACCTTTAAGTTTGTTAATAGGCCAATTCACTTTAAGATGAAAATTGATGGCACACAATTGGATTTGCTGAATGAAAATTTAACATTATCCAATTATTATTCAACATTATGCCTAACATATTTATATAATAATATAACACTATATTATAGATAGTTATAGTTAAAACTACCTATGTACTCATGTCGTGTATTTATTTACAAATGTTTTGTTAACGCTGTGTGTTGGTTTTACAGTTGACGAACGAAGAATTCGGTTGTTTTTAATTCTTTGTAAAAACAGCTTGGAAAGGACAAAAGAGGCTTTAGACCAATATTACACGATCAAATCGACAGTACCCGAATTCTTTGCCAACAGGGATCCAACTAAACCGGAACTCTTGAATTCGATGAAAACATCGTGAGTATACCAGTGATTAATCGCTAACAGCTGTATAGTTGAGGTAGGACATTAACAGTATGTGGCTTCTAGGCCATTCATATAAATGACTGACGTTGAACAAACGCGTTTCCTAAACGACTTAACGGTGGTCATTTAATTACGGGGAAATATGTTTTTAAATACGAGTATAGGTACGAAAAAAAGATATCAACGTTTAATTTTAAAGTGCCTACTTATCTATTATGTTACGGTCGATGATAATTAATGATCCGCAAAACCTAATGCATTTTCTATCCGTTATGACACCTCTCTTGGGTTAAAAGTTATTAGGTATATTAAGTCAATGGCGTGTTTATATACAGACACAATAGGCACATGACTACTGTTTAGAGTGGCCCATTTTAAGATGCGACAAAATTTTTAAAAGGCCATCTTTTTAAAATTTAGTATTGACGAATATGGAAACAGTTAAATGGTGATTAGTACAAAAAATTGGCCAAATAAAAAGTGATAAACCGCGTAATGTTTTGATTCAGAATCATAAATTAATCTATTTTTGTTTTCAAATACAATAGCACTTTGTACGTTTATCGCCTATAATAGTAATTATAATATTACTGATATAAGTACGAAAATAACGAATATTGAAGTTAGTGGTAATACAACAACAAGTGTATCCAATATAAGTGATTTCTAAAGAATCTGAAAATAATTGTGTGCTGTATGGTGTGTCGATAAAATAAGTGTAAATAAAATTAATGCAACTATTTTGAAGACAGACCCGGCTAAAAACGGTAGTAATTGAAATACGACTAAAGACTGTATTAACTCTAAACGTGTATTGTACGATAAAAAAAAAAAAAAAACAAAATATTCGAATAAAAATATATTCAGTAGGAAATTGATTAATTAATAAGCAAATTTTCGTACCTAGTTAGTTTATCCTCTAAGGTAATTAGTGGTTTTTTGTGGTCCTTGGGGAATAATTTGTATTTTAGATTTTGGGTAGCAATTTTTCACAGGCTCATTATATGGTAATAATATCAAACTAATAACACAGCGTTCGTAGATAATGAGCATACAATATTGTAAAACCGACCTAAGACTAATTATACAAAGTTATTATTAAAATCTTGAATACTTAAAACATCAAATGTTCATTTTTTTTTTTTTTTTTTAGCAATATCATATAGATATCACCAAGACANGTAAAACCGACCTAAGACTAATTATACAAAGTTATTATTAAAATCTTGAATACTTAAAACATCAAATGTTCATTTTTTTTTTTTTTTTTTTTAGACTTTTCATTCCACTACCGAAACTTACACCGGAAGGATACAGAATCTCTTTGAGTCGTTTAAGAACTTCGGAAGTAGACAATTTCGAATTCGCAGACTACGTCAAGGTGAACTTTATGTCCATCGACATCAGAGTATCGAAAATCGATTTTTTCAAAAAGGAAATATTTATTTTCGACTTGGATAAGTTCACAATGTCTCATCTGGCCGCAATTCTTCCGCAAATCAAGAATTTCATTTATTGTGCAACAGTGAGTATTATTATATTAGCAAATTTTTTTTTTTTTTTTAGCAATATCATATAGATATCACCAAGACATAGATAATATTATATGAATTGTTTGAATACTTAGCAGAATGGCGTTGTCCTTAAACTTGTTTATAGTTTTATACTTTAATCGTATAATAGATTAACAATAAATTCCTAAACGTATAAATAAAATTATACCGAGTGAATAACTACTGTAGTAAGGTATACTTTATATAACGTGTAGAAAAATGGAATTGTGTTAAATGTGTGATTTATCGTCGTACCTATGTATGTAAATATACGTTGATAAAAAAAACTCGTACGCTTAAAAATGTTCGTACAGATAGTGTATAGATTGGTAATATTTTCAAGTTTCAATACAAAATGGCATTGTGCTATTATACACAAACGCGTTACAAATATCAGATTGTAAAACAAGTTAGTTGGGTTTTTGTTTACTCTAAACGGGATTTGCAAAACGTGTAGTCAGCAAGAACATTTTTTTTTTTTCATTACCAAGGTTTAACAAGGTTAAAAAAAACATACATGTCGTTTTAAAATAAATAACAATAATATATTATAATAGTGTCATTAAATGACTGTTATAGAGCTGCTTTGCTATTTTATTTAAATAACTAGATTATATACATATATATATATATATAATACACTTATGTATATTCTTGTTCAAATCGCATATTATTAATTGAACTCGTACTAACTAGGTTTTATATTCTATTGCAATGCATACATACATAATATTATTTTATTAGATGGTTTTTTTACCGGTCATTGGTTAACTCTATATGGAAACCTATGTAGGCATACGCTTCCCACACAACACACGGATGCTCCCGAGAAGGTTATAGGAATACCTTTTAGGTACAAAAGCAGTCTATAGAGTTTAAACTCTAGATTCGTTTTTGGACCATTCTCAGGGCCATCCATCAGAAACCAAATGATAAAAACCTCCGCGAAATGGTCCAAATACATCCGAATAGGTCTTAGTGAAAATTTAATCAGAAAATACAAGGAAAAATCCTAAAATATCGAATACGCCGCCAGGAATCGAATTTGTTTTCTAGTTTAACCGATAACACTAGGATATCTCTTTTCATATTACTTCCCCATTTCTACCATCGTTTATGGAATGTAACCAATACAATATTTACAATGATAATCATTACAAACATTAAAATCATGGAGAGGAACGCACAGGCTAGTTCCCCACTGCAACCCTCTTACATTATCCTAATATTTAAGTTAATCTTCGCCAGTGCTATGAAATTCTTGATCCGGTTCGCAGAACCAGCTAGCCTGGAAAGTCTTTTGACAGCCCTCATTCGATCCAGTTCGCGGAACCCACCAAATCACTAAACTATACTAATGATGGACATAGTATGTATAAGTTATCGAGTTAATTTAAAAATATTACAGTAACACCTAGAAGGGAGAATGAGAAATAGGAAGGTAGGGGGAGAATTTTATGACCAAATAGGATGTTCTTGAAGCGTGAAAGTTAAAATGTTTCGTAACGAAAGGCTTCTGGCAGAAACTAATTTGGACCAAAACAGTCGAAAGGTTAAAATGCTTCCAAACAGGAAGTTTCTGATAGGGATTTATTGGATGGATATTAAACAGTAAGTTCCCGGGAAAATATTTACTGTTAGGGTTTTAAAGTAAAATTAATTTGTAAATATTATTTTGTTTGTTAATTTAACAAAATTATATTTATTATTTTTTATTTTAAATTGATATGGTTTATTATACTCGATGCTGCGTGAAGAGTAATGCAAACAAAATACACGTATAATATAACATATGGAAAATAATATTACAGTAAATAAGCAAATATTATATAATAAATGTACGTTTGTTTGTTTATATTACAGACGGCGTATCCATTGCGGATTCAACAGGTCCATATAATCAACATGCCCAGCTACGCCCAATCGATGGTTAACATGGTACTTGGATTTTTGAAAAAGAAAATCGCTAGTCGGGTATGTGTGTTATAGTATTTTGACCGACAACCCATTATGGTTTTAAAAATAATTATTATAACAATAAAAACATAACGCCGATATTTCCTATGTATGTATACTGCAGATTATGATTCACAACAGCGTAGCTGATCTAAAAAAACACGTAAATATCGACATTCTTCCGTTGGACTATGGCGGCACGTTCCCAAAAACTTCAGAAGAAATAACCGGTGAGTTACGGAATAGATTTAACGATACCTATAGATACTCGTACTATACGAGAATTATTTTAAATGATATTCACACCGTTTGCCTTTAACGTAATTATTCAAAAAAAAAAAAAAAAATGCATTTATATTGTATTTATCTAGTTTAATAATATTATATAGGTACTCAGGTACGTTTTGAGAAATCGATTTGCTCGTTCGAGACGAGAACAATTTTATAATATCCACGAAGGCAACTGTGTACGGTCGACCATGCTATAATAATATTAAATATTATGGTGCGGTATAATTATGTACGTATCTTATACCTAAATGATATTATCAAAAAATCTTTTGATTTGTTTCGGATTTTTGGATGTAATATTTCGCGTCTTCTTCTGTGATCGTTAAAGCGTACCAGCTACAACACTAATAATAACATCATAATATTCTAAACACGTGCCTAAACATAGTATCCACCGACAAAATAATAATTATCTAGAAATATTATTGATAATCATTGAATTATTCCACGTTCGGTAACGCCGCAGTAATCGATGATTTGATTTTATTCGTAAATTGCGTTTTTGTTTAACAACAATAATATAATATGACGATTAAAAACATTTCCGACAAGCCTGAGCAAGTTACTGAATATAATATTAACTCATTTATAAGCCAAGTCAATTGAAAAAAAAAAACTGATAATGATAACAGGGTGTAGTACCACTGTTGTATGTGAGAAGTTGAGAAGGTATTTAATTTATAACTTTACGCAACGATAAGCCATTACTGACGAAAAACTATCGGTTAAATATATTTTATAATGCCAAATTTTTTATATTTTTGAGATCAACATTTGAACTTGAAATATTTATAAAAAAATGACTACATTACGCACAGCTTTTGACCACGAACTAGGAAGTATAACTCATGATGAATCACGTGTTTAATTTTCAAGCATTTCTTCTCCGCCAAAACAATTTTATCCGTAAAAAACCAAATGATAACTAAACGAATTCGTAAATTTCAAACAGCTCAAAAATCACAAGAATATGTTGGCAATTGTGTAATGTCTAAGAAGAGCTATTATAAGCACTTTGTGAAGATTCTTTGTTTTCACAATTATATTTAACCGAACTATAAAAAAAAAAAAAAACAAAATAAATAATAACAAAACCGCTATTGCCGTAAAGTTTTCCTCGGTTATTAAGAAAACCATAATTAAAATCTAAAAACGAAATCTCCCGATGCATTAATCGAACAAAATTTTCTTTCTGGAAAAATGCAAATAAACTTAATAATCGGAGCAAGATTTCAAAAGTAACAGATTTATTTACAGATAAAATACAATTAATAAATACAAAAACATCATAATAAAACCATTTTTAAAATAAACACATTTTTCGCTGTGTTCAGAATCTAAAAACACAAATAAAGTTAAAAATTAAAACTGTTACTTTTAACGATTAATTTTATAACTCGTCAATACCTGCCTTTGAATTATTCGACCGTCATAATACATTTTTATATTTTATCTTTATTTTAGCAAGTTATTTTTGCATTTTATCATTACAATAATAATTGTTGTATGCGGAACGTTCAATAATAACCCACAATCAGTTTACTCGACGTGATAATATTAATGTTATTATTTCCTTGTTATTATAATTTTCTCGTATCTGTATATTTGCCATAATAATAATAGTAATAATATGATGTGTCGAAATCGTTATAAAATTTTTACTATTGTTGACAATATTTTATCAGCAATATTCAAAACGCGTGGTCGAGTTGGACGAAAGCCAGGAAACAGGCGATTTAGCATACTAATACCATTCAATTAATCGTTAAAAAAAAATATCGATTTTTTGGTGACATTGTGTCGGTAATCGTCGTCCACTAACCGGCTCTGTACGTAATATAATAATAACGTGATCAAGGCTCATGATGACGCATAGCTTTTTTTTTTTTTTATTTTCTTGTTGAAAACTACGGGAACGGTTGTTTTATAAATCACATTACATACATAATACACTTCCTGCAGTGAAACAATAAACCTTGCGCAAAATTATAATAATATGTCAAATAAAAAAGCAATTTCATCTAGAGAGCACTATTGTCGATATTAAGTGCGTGGGTAAGGTCGAAATGAAACGATATTAATATTATATATTCGATAAATCATATTTCGAATGCACAAATAAACGTCGTCATCTAGATGATATAATATAAAAACAATAAAAAAAAAACAGACATACTTCGCACGATGTGTAGGTGAGAAGTTGGGAAGGTATAGAAGAGAAATTTAATGAATATCTGCATGTAAAGATTAACCATTATTAACGAAAAACGATTCTGAGCGGAGTTTGGTTACACATGTTTTGAAAGGCCGTAATATTTACGATTTGAAAATAACATATTTCGTAAATTTTCACGTTTTTCCAACATTTTTGTCCGGTTTTTCACAGTTTAATTTCCTTTCAGAAAAAGTGAAAAACAAAATTTCTGGTAGAAAATGTGTTCATAGAAAAAATGTAAATAAACATTATTGTAAAACCAATGCATTCTTCACTCCATTCGGAATCTAAAATGATGATGACAATGACAACTCAAAGAACAATTGTGTCATCATCGTCCGGTATTAATGTACACGTAAATTAAATAAGTTTAGTGTGCTTTTTTCACCCGGCCATTTTACAGGGCAGTTTAATATTGAACTACTTGAACGTCCCTATACGTGTCCAATGCATATGCGTGGTTAGGATACCTAACCTAATAATTATTATTTATATTCAGGCGATGACAAATGTTTTTTGGTTTTGCTTTCTGGAATTGTTGTACAGTCATCACAATATTCTACAAAAAACAACGTGTCAAATTATTACTTTATATAAACTCGAGATACCTGTATGTAAAAATAGCCGTCATCGCACACGATTTACACTCTTCTCGCAAGTAGAATAAATGTTTTATTATTATTATAATATAATACACATTTCGTAAGCGATTTTTCCGTTAGTTGTACATGTACACCGACCTTGATGAACGTGCCTTATGAACAATTTAAAATATTACACCTAATTAAACGAGTGTATAGGTACGAGTACAATGTTGTTTATTTCAAATTCAAAATAAGTGCAGGTTTAATAACAATAATAATAATATGATACAAGCCTAATGTTCCAGTAATTAACCCAGTTTAATGTCCAATGGAAAAAAATATGGCTTGAACAGTTGTAGTTCGTTTTCAAAAAATTTACACTCCTATACCGCAGAAGTATCTAAAAAGGTAATATCTTAAAGATATCTATCAATATTTTATCAATGCAATACTATTGACATGCATTTTTATTGAATGAAAAGATATTTGTAAAAATAGTATACGGTTATTACTGTAAGGTGCCTGGTACCAGCGAGTTTTTTGGTTCCCCTTTCGGGGAAAAACTACGTAGGGAAATCTGATTTCAATGATTTATTGAAAATAATATAAACAAATACTTAATGTGTCCCTCCAAAATATATGAATTGGTGGCTGTGTTTAAAATATTTATATTTATTATTCTTTTTTTTTTTTTTTGTAATTACAGAAGAATGGAAGGATGAATTAATAAAACACAAGGACTGGTTCTTGGCCCAAAATTCGGTCGTTTGTGACGAGACCAGACGGGCGAAGAAACCCAACGTAAAGGTGAACGCGCTGGCCGGAGTCGAAGGATCTTTTAGAAAACTCGAAGTGGACTAATAACAATTATAATACGTATAAATACTACCTATGGTTTTTTTTTTGGTCATTCGACTTTTTTTTTTTATTTATAATATATTGGCATCACTATAAGCCTATAGGTTAGGTATAGGTTTTGTACAGAACTTTATTTTTATTTATAGGTACGACGGAAAGCATAATGTGCGTTCTTTGTACATGGTTATTTTTTTTATTCTTTTTATAGTGGTGTAAGCCGATGTTTATTTTTCAAAATGGAAACTGTATACAATATTATAAAATATAAAAAGGAAAAAAAAAGTAAAGGAAATATATAGTTTGTACCTTTTTTAACTTGTTTCGAGTTCATTTTTATTACTTTGAACAGTAGATTCCTACTGAAGTTATAAGTATTTATAGCTTTTGACTGCGCGTTTTTCACGAGTTTATACGAATACAAATGGTACCCGAAGTACATAATTTTAAATGAAAAACGAAATATTTTTAAAACAAACAAAAAAACCCACCAAATACACGTGTGTTTAAGAGATAAATTCAGCAGGTATGACATTTTATTCGAATGTGTTTCATGTAATCGCCAACGTTGTGTTCCTAGCTGTTCATATAATAGGTATCATTATGATGTTCTAGTCAAAATTCGAACGACAATTCTGTAGAATTTCAATTTGAATTTACCATTTTTATCCGATGGTTTTTCCGAATACTGGAAAAGATGTAGAATTGACTGTACATTTTAATGAACTTGAACTGTTAACTTTTAACTGAACTTTCATGGAACTTGCTGTAGATACAATTTTCTTTCAAGAAGATATGTTACACTTGACTATTTGAGCAAGCTTTCCGGTAGAAAACTTGTTTACACATACACACACACACACACACACACACACACACACACACACACACACACACACACATACACCGTATTAAAACCAATACATTCCTCATATTATACATAATAATTATACAAAACAATAACGTCATAGTTTTAATTTGTGGAAAAAAAATACAAATAAATATATCTAAATATGCATATCTACCTATGAAAAATTGTATAATAATGTAATAATATAATATACTAATTATTTTAAATTATAATCCATGACCACAAATATATTTCCTATAGTTATTTACGTATTTATTTACGTACGTTTTACTAAATAGATTTAAAAAACCATAATACTTACCGAAAAAGAAACGACTGTTGTAACGATTCGTAAAAAATAAGTACTTGGCGTTCAATTATTTAAACTAATTAGTTAGTTATTGGGTAGGTACCCAATTCTTATAATACTTAGTTTATTACTAATACCTAGCTATAGTGGTATACACAAGACCAAGGAGTGAAGTATATTTGGTTTTTAAATGGAAATTTACATTTATAATACCGTGTTTACTGTTTAACAAAAAAAAATATATCGATATTATAATATTCCATCGGAAAAACTATTCTCGAATGTAGCACAAAATTGAAGATGAAAAACCACCTGAAGATGGAAATACCAAATTAAAGTAATACTTAAGTTACCTATAAAAGCACGAAAACATAGAAATTTCCGATCATGGAATTGTGAATAAACCCTTACTGGGAATTCCACACATAGATAATAATATAACAGTAGATAACTATAGTTTCGAAAAATTAAGTAGTTAGATATAATTCACAGAGGTGAATTTGAAAAAAACCATCGATAGGTATCGCCGTTGTTAACTTTTAATTTAACAAATATTATACGTATATATGAATCAGAAAATATAATCATATACATATAATATTCAGTAAGTACTTATCAGAAAATAAGAAAAACTTAATATATTGTACTTAGAAACCTTGGTAAATTGTATACAAATATGATATAATAACAAAGTAATATAATTTATGGTGGGTACGCATCTTCGTTACCACACACGATTACGAGTGAATTAGGAACTTCATCAAAAAGTCTGCTTATTTTACGTCAAAAATAATATTTATCTACGACTGCCCGAAATAGTGGGAATTTTGGTTAGTGATTTTATTTTTATTTATTTACGTAATTCATTTTTGAAAGTTGTACAAGCTTTAGCAATATTGTGCCGCGATCTAGTGGAAAGATATGTTATAAAAAAAAAAAATACAAGATTTCGTACTATTAATTATTATCTAATTTTTAATAACGCGATAATTGTATGCTATATTTTACGTAAACTTGCTTTGTCTAGCTGTCTAAGGGACTTCGGCCACTTTCATTCGTTCGCTTTGCGAGCCCATATCGGATTTTTAATCGAAAATCAACCCCGATTTATTATTCAAAATCACGTCGGGTAGACTTTTATTTCGAGTGCTGTATCACTCAATGGTTAATATATGATCAAGCCGCATTACGGAAAACGGTTCTTAACTATTATAAACAATAATAAATGAATAGCTATTCTGAAAACCGGTGAACAGAATGACAGTAAGACTGTAATTAGGGTTGCCGTTGTTTCGCCCCTTAAAAATTAATAACTACTATTACTTTAATCAAATACCTTATAATATGGTATTTTTTCTATAAATATTGTTCCCGTAGGGCAGAGGTGGCCAAAATGCTTTTTGGTAGAGATCTATTAAAAACAAATTTTTCCTTTAGGATCGACTTCCTAACGTGCATGAAAATGTTTAATTATAAATTTCCTAACAGACATTAATAATAAACATACACGTAAAGCTAACAAATAATAATAAAACTAAAATGTATAGTTACTTTTTTCATTACATTTTTATTCAGGCTGATATAATATGGTAAGCAGATTTTCCAGTCTAAACTCCGTTCAATTGTATTACTTGAATCGACAACAAAATAATGATATATTAAGATAAAAATGACCAGCAATTATGATTTACTTTGAATCATATAAAAATAAACTCTAACAAAAGGAGACCGACATTTAAACCACCCGTGATCTACCGGTCGATGCCGATCGACCGTTTGACCACGCCTGCCATAAGGTATATGTACTATACATACGCCGTAATAGTAGAATAAATGCAATTTCATCTACTTTTTGGTAACATAAGTAACTTTATTGTAATCTCCGGGAGAATCAGTGATCGTTCGTCAAGTTTTATTATAGTAGTTGTCTTGTATTACTATTATTTATAGTATTTAATACTCACCACCGAACACTTTATTCTCAAATTCTCAATCGATGTGTTTGCTGTTTACTATTACTTTTAATTTTTAATTTTCACATTGATGTTATTATTATTTTATTTTTATTTTTTAATAGTAAAAATATAATAATAATTACAATCTACAATCTATACAAAAATATAGTACAATAAGCAATTGCACCCGACAGGTTTACTAGTGGGTCTTCAGTGTTTCATGTCATAACCGATTGAAACGTCTCGAGGGATTGTCAGAGAAAAAATAAATCATTAAAAATACACAGGATTTGATCTTGCTGAAGAATATCGTGTTGAATTGATTAATTTTTCTACACTGACCAAAAAACTTATGTTGGAGCCCAATTTTGGAATAAAAGAAATGGAGCTGCCTAAATACAAGTGGACTAAACTAAATTGGTTTTAAACCGGTAATGGTGAATACATGAACTAATGGAAACGGACTTTTGCATTATTTGTATTTTTTTATCTTGCACAATACACAAAATAACTTTTGTTATGTTCTACACTAATTGAAGTGTTTAATTTTACTTGATGTATTTAAAATAAATAATCATATAAAAATAAATCTGTACACTTCTCACTGATCAAATACAAATTATTTTTAAAATATAATTAATATTTATCAATATTTTGTTAAATGTTTAAGATATTTTTTTAAAATGTAAACAAAACAACTATAATTGTTATAATAATATCACAACTTTTTTTCCACAATTTAAATTTGTAATAAACAATATAATATTATACTCTAGTGTGAATTTGACTCAGATAAAATTTTTTAAATTATCGTATTTTATATTTTATTTAGTAACCAATAAGCATATTATCGTATCAATTTTGATTATATAATGTAATTATGATTATTGAATGTAAGTACCTTCTGAAAACGTTTTGTTTTACGTCATTATTTGGTAGCAATAATCTATGTACCTATAATAATGCATTAATATTTATTACATCCGATTATTGTACCAAAATAATTTTTTTATTTGTGTTAAATGTCCTTGATTGCAAATTGAACTTGTCTGTTAATCAAATAAAACACACTCTATTAAGTTTTTATAGTGATTAATGGGTGAACACGGACCATCACTCAATAATAATTATAGTCATAAGCTGTTGCAATTGCGTTTGTACCAAACATTTGTTCTACAACATTTATAAACAGACTATAATATTTATATTTTAATTTAAATAATGAACAAAACATTTACGTATCTGGCTTGTGGTTTTTATATTTTAATTATTGTGCAATATAAACTTAGATAAGTGGATGCCAGTACATCATGTTTAATATTTATGTCTGATACTAGTGACAGAACTCGAATTGTCGAGTTTACTACCTATTTGGTTTGATGACTGTGTATTTAATATTTTTATAAGCTAATTTTTCAAACCGTTGGACGTACAATTTATAAAATATTGAAGGTAATGATAAATAATTTGAAGCCAACATTACCTTTTCCCATAGTAGACATTTAAAAAATTTACGACAGAGCATACAAATTAATTTGTTGTATTATAGTGTTCTAAAAATAGTACGTAACAAAACAATCATTAATTCCCCCCGCCGCTGCTGACATTTTTTCTAACTACGGTATTTACGGACACATACAGAACGTACAAAGATTTGATGACAAGTGTCTAAAATAAAACTATTTACCCGTGTTTATATTAGCAAGGAAGAAGTATGTTATGAGGGAGGTATATCGTAAAAGTGGAGAGAGAAGGACAGCCGGTGGTCTAACTTCAAAATTATACATGTATTGTTTCTAAATAATTAATTAAAATTGATTTCGACAATAATGGGAGTGAGAGGATTTTTAAAATTAATTTAAGGCATACACATATTTATGCTGAAAACAGAGCTAAGATCGTCCCCTTCTGGATCCGCCACTGCCTACAGGTACCTACCTACCGGACACTGGCCTGGCTAAGTTCTGGACAGATTTTAGACACAAACTATATCTATGTATAGGTATACATTCATGCATTAAATAATTAAAGTGATTGTTATAATAATATAAACAGTTTAACTTTCATAAAATGAAAACTATAAATTATAATGGATTTCCCATCTATCATTCCGGTTTCGTTGTGTTTTCGTGTACTCGCCGAACGTCCTTACATAAAATAATAATATAGGTCCTTATCCAGCTATTATTAATTATTGTTATTATTCGTGTACGTATTATTACAACATTATCATTACAACCTATGTATTAAACTAATTTTAAATCTGCGTTAATTACTATGACGTAATATAGGTTCCTACGTTTATAACGTACCGACTTTCAAAGGTAGACAGGTATTTACCACTGACCAGAGTATCAGCCAAAATAATTCAATGAAATATTCAATTGTTTTCCCATAGGGTATACCAACATATTTCTACGACGCAACATTTTGTGAAAAAATCCGCATACAGTTGATACGCACAAACAATTAAAAATTAACAAAATTCGTCATGATTTATTATTATCATTGTCCGTTCATACCAGTTATCCCATTAAAACCGTAATGGTAATAAAAATTTTATTTATTTTAATAATTATAACCGAACAATTCACAATTTGTAATTTACAATACGTTTAGATTCGGAACAAACCGAAAGATCTATTGGTTTTACTAGGACGCCTGTTTTATATATATTTTAATTTTATTTTTATCTGTGAGTAACTTTTCTGCTCCGGTGTATCAAGTAAAGCATTTTTTCTGAAAGAAATTTGTATCTAGTTGGTGTATTAAAAATGTTATTTTTTGATTTTCCAGATGGTTTTATTGGAAAAAATCGGAAACAAAATTGTAGGTAAAACAGCACATATTTATTGCACGCCACGGCGTTGCTGATTTCATTGTATTTAATTTTTGCAAACTACATTTTCTACCAAAAATATTGTTTTAATAGAAAAACGATAAGAGACCTTTTTTATTATATTTTGGATCTAGATGCTCATAAAGTAAGTTGTTTTTTGATTTTCAACGCAGTTTTCATAATAATTCGGCTAAATCGGAAAACGAAAACTGATAAATTTTCACAATCCTTTATTTTAAATTTGTACGGTTAATGTTTTCTATCAAAAATAATGCTTCAAAAAAAAAAAAACAATTTTTCTTGTTTTATTTTAATATTTTTGGGGAATAAGCATGCCATTTTTTTATTTTCTATGTAGTTTTTTTTTTAATAATTAGGAAAAACAAGGAAAAACGTTTAATTACGTGAAAATGTACATTAAAATAATGCTTTTACTTTGTTCAATTTTGTCTTGATATAAATTAAATAATTTTATACATCCTACCTTCGCAAATACCCATCTACAACAGTGGCGCATTCATCATAAGTATCAGCTGTTTGTTTTCTTTTTTTTTAAATGAAGAGTTTTTACAAAGTACATGTGCATTAGACTTAAATTTGGAATATTATATTTCCAAATGCTAAGAGTTTGAATAGGACCAATTTTTTACTTTTTTAAAAAATTTCGAAAAATTCGTTTTGAGGTTTTTGGTTGCATAATGAAAAATTTAAGTCATCGCACCCACTGGAGTATGTTGGATTGCGTTTTTATTAAAAACTTATTAAACATAATACAAATTATGTTAATAATTTGTTAAAAACTACAAGTCGGACCCTTTATAAATTGTTACATATTGTAATGTTATATAATAATTATATAAATTATATATATACTAGTTGTGCCCCGCTTGTCGTTGATTCTAAAATTATTGAGAGTAATGAATGTGATAAATGACCGCCATAGTTAAATACTTGACGATTTTAAGAAGGTACTCACAGAAAAAATAAAGTGCATAATATAATATAATATAGTGCGAAATATGGTTTGGTAGTGTTTTATACGAAATTGTACGTCTACTGTTAAAACATGTTGGGAAATGAAGAATGTTTAAAAAATTAATAATATACACGATCAGTTGAAAAAAGTAAAAAATTCAAATTCAAAATGTACTCAAAACACGACCTTCTAATGACATTCATATGACACAGGGAAAAAAAATTCGCAAAGAAATAATAAATTATACATCATTATAAAGTGTGCGGTGTTGTCCTGTATTTTATCACAAGTGTGCAGTTTTCAGAGTCAACGATATTAAGCAATACCTATGTACAGTGACGTAGCCAGGATTTATTAATGGGGGGTGATAGGGGGATCTGGAAGGTTTGGGGATCTACAACCTTTTTAATCTTACAAATAGCTATAGAAATCAATAGGGGGAGTTTACAACACCCAAAACCCCTCTGGCTACGCTACTGCCTATATACCTACTACCTACTTACCTACTTACCTACCTACCTACTTTACGTGAAGTATCGGAGTATATACCTGCATAATATATATATTATAATAAAACTACTCAACTATTAATAGAAGGAAAAATGTTAAATTTCCTAAATGAATTGTTAACAGAAAATTGTTTTTCCGTCAAAAAGAGGACATGATTTGTTGTCATTTTTTAGAACATTTTATTGTTTTAAAACGTTGTTTACTCGTCGGTTCACTCCTCGTCGTACGAATCCCCCCTAATATTATTTATATAAATAATTAATAAATACAAATTGTTTAATAACCACCATAAAATTAAATTAAATAGGTAACTAACTATTTTCTAAAAAAGTAATTTACCTAATTTATATATGTAGGCCACGATAAACCATTACTAACGAAAAACAATTCTGAGAAAAGTTCGGTTACTTTATCATATTTTGAAATGACGTATTTTTCACAATTTTCATACATAAAATAAAAGCTTCTGAATCCGGTCAACTTTTTTTAAGCATTAAGTAAGTATAGATACATTTACTATTATGATGGAAAAAATCCATATTGTTTATATAGTATGTAGGTACTCTGAGTACCTCCCTTTATTTCCGTAATTATTTAAATGTTCCGTTGTGAGGATTGTTTAGAATTTCATTGTTCCCAAAAAAAAGGCTAAACCTCTTTGGCTTATAAACTGAATTACAGCCACTGTGCGTTTTAAAATATTTCTCCAATACTGGATTTCATTTTTATACTCTTTAACTAATTGACAATCTATAAGTTTTAATTGTACAGATCGATTGGAGTAATCATAAACTGCATTCCTATGAATAGTTGAATTTTCATGTTCATTAAGCCATTCAGTTATATGATACCAATCACTAAATCTTTGTTTTGTTAGAAAATGATTTGAAGTTTTATCATATAATTTACAAATATAACAGAATATACATACTTTTGAAGGATAATATATAAACCAGGTTCTTGGAACTATAACACCATTCTTTTTAGTAGTATAAAAATTGTGCGATTTCTTTTTTCGGTAAACACCTCTAATCAATTTTCGGACCCATCTATAGCATGTATATTTTGGTTTGGGGGGAATGTACAGTAAAAAACTCTTGAAAACTGTCAGAAAGTGATAATGGCCAAAAAACAATGTCATCAGTGTAATTTTCGAAATTATTTTGTTGTTCATTATTAGTAATATTTAACTGCTTATCGGTTTGATGATTACTCTGAGATACAAGTTTATTTTCATGTAAACTTACCCTACGATTTGTGGATTCTCCATTTTTTGTTGTATCGATTAATTTAATATGGCTGGCTTCTAAACTTGTATTTTGCGAATTTGCTGTAAAAATATCAAAACCAAATCTTTAATTTTATAAAAACTATAGGTATGGCATATATGATTAATAATAATATACATATATATATATATAATATCAAAATTGGTTATAAAGTATTTTAAGTTACTTACTTTCTGAATTTTCAACAGCTAACGGCGTTTCTGTTAAAGATGGTTCATCTATTGTGAAAACAAATTTATTTAAATTTTCACGCAACTTTTTAAATTCTTCTTTCTTTTTTTTCTTTTAATTTTCGCTTAACTGAGCCACTGAGGTATTTTTTAGGCGACATTTTTAAAAAAGTACAACAACGTACTAATAATAATAAAATAAATTACAAAAATATAAAATCGTTTTATTCATATTCGTACAACGTACACTATCGCACTGTTTTACGTATACTGTAAGATTACAGCAATATCTATTTTTTTTTTTTTTAAAAACTTCTATATCAATATAACACACGTAACACGTTTGTTGTTATTACAGATCAGTATAACTGAGAAATTATAACAGCTCATAATTCCAAAAAAAGTTTTATTTTACCATTTAGTTGAATACACCGTACACAGTATGCGATATGCACTACATAACATCTGTTAAAATTACGCTCGGTCAATTTTATACATCTTATCGTTGTAATCTACGACTAATAGTCTATTTAATACAAATATTTTTTATCTCTAACTGAAAAAAATAATTTATATTTTTACAAGTATTTTCGACTGTGTAAACTTTTTTTGGTATTCTTCAATTTTAAGAATTAATTAAGATTAAAATAATAATTAAATCCAATAGGTGGGCCACTGACCTGCATGGGCCCTGGACAAATACCCACAATGTCCTTGCGTAAATAGTGCCCTGGATACTCGTATAGGTGATGTATTATAAAATACTTAGATTATTACCTATGTATTATTTACATTTATATATTTTGTCATAATTATAGTTAAAAAAGACGTACTTCACACGATGGGTGGGCCACTATTACAAGTGAGAAGTCGGGAAATAAGGATATAGAGGGGAGTTTAATGTATATCTGTACTTAACGATTAATCTTCGCTAACGAAAAACGATTCGGTTATATAATGTTTTAAAAGGCCGAAATATGTACGAGTTTCGTCAAAATTTGATATTAAAATTCTTATACGTAGAAAATACACTAAATTTTTTTTTGACCACAAAATATGTCTTATAATGAGCCTCTTGTTTAATTTTAAAATATTTCTATTTGGTTAAACAATTTTATCTACAGAATACCTATCGAATAAATATTATGTATAAAACTCTCAAAATTAAAATGTCAAATTGCTTAATAATGGCTCAAATGTTTTAAAAATTTTATCACATCTATAAAAGGCTAATATAAAGTTTATATCAACATTTCAAGTCTCTACGAAATATTTTTCACTGGATTTCAATAAAAAAAAAATTAATTTAATTAAAGTATTATTTTCGTAAATTTTCTCACTTTTCTTATATTATTTCCCGGTTTTCCCATTTATTGGGAAAACAACTGGAATAATCCAAAAATTATCTTCTAAAGTACCACCTCAAGAAAATCCCCTTACAGAAAAGGTATTATACTTGATACTCCGAAAGAGATTTTTGGTAGAATTTTTGTACAAAGGATAAAAAAAATAAAATAAAATAAACATCTTTGTAAAACGAATACATTCTTCGCTACACTCAGAATCTATAATGTTGTTTGGCCTTATTGCTTCATACGAGCAGATGCTACCCAAGAAAAATAACTTGTATTGCCGTGCATTTATATATTAGGTAAATTGGCAAATCATTGTTACATAATAAATGAATAAATAAAATATAATTTTGTTGCAAAAAAAAAATCGTTAAATATCACGTATTACATTTGTTACAATGAGAATTGGAATTGGATATTAGTACCTATAGTAGTATTCATTATATGAGAGTAGAGCCATATTAAAGAGGGGGGGGGGAGAAATGAGGGCACCAACCTTTTTAAAACTATGGGGCGCCCGACTTAATATAAAACTCGAAATAAGATTAACAGTATCAAAATTATGATGTCACTTGTTATTCGTTTTATTTTTAAACGCTCTGTTTAAAGTAATAATGAATATTTTTTGGTAATATTAGAAGAGCGTAAGCACAATTTAGTAACCTAATATGCGAGGAGCCAGAAAAAAAATTCAGGATTAAGAAAGAATCTTATTTAATGGAAGCAAAATTTTGAAATTTCATTAAGAATTTAAAAAAATTGTAAAAAAAAAAAAACAACAATTTTGGGGGGGATTAACCAGGATGTAACCAGGGAGCACTGGGTATGCAAGTTCCCAACCCTTAAAGTATGTCTTTAGGAGAGAGGTAGTGGATGGGTTTTAAAGGAGATTGATCTAATGACTAAATGTTTTCAGGAAGGTCAAACAGGACAGCAGGTTCCCGCACTATAATTTGTATCAAAGCGATCGGTTCCCAACACTTTATTTTGATCAAGAATCAATTGGGACACAAAACAAGCAATATCCGGGAGCATCAAAATGCTTCCCAACAGGAAGTTATTGATAGTCATTATTAATGGCTATCAATAACTATCAAAGTGATTTACATTCTTAATGAGTCATTAAGAATGCAAATCACTTAACCTAACCGTGGTGGCTGGTGGATACTAAAAAGATCGTTCCCGCGAAAAAATCTGTGCAGAATAGGTTATATTATCGTATACCTAATAAATAATATACCAAAATACCTATACATATATATTATAAATAATATGTAATATAGGTAAGTATACTATAAAAAGTCATGACAAATAATTACAACTTCAATTATTGTCATATAGGTTAGGTATATAATATATATATATATATATAGGTCCTGTATATAGTGTATACTGTATACTGCATAAACACCTACCAATTATATCTATCTGTAGTGCGCCGTCGACTCATCATCGTGATTCGTAATAGCCGATAGGTTAGGTACTTTGAAAAATTCGGCTTTGTTTAAAATAGACCATGGGTTAAGATATAATGGACTGGTCACGAGCAGTTTATCAGTGGCAAAAAATTAGCGAACAAGAAACAAGTGCGGAGAGTCGCAATGCAGACCAACAATTTACAATGCTTATCTGTTGACTAAATTATGAGCATCACTAACTGCTAATTTCCAAGCTAAATAATAAGCTTCTGATGGCTTAAATAAAACAATCGTAAAATTTATTTTTACACTAGTGTATTCTTTCACAATACACTTACGCGTATTCATGATTACTGTTTACTTATTAATTAAAAATCGTTTTAATAATTAATGTCTATCTACATATGAAATTAGACACATAAAATCTATCATATATCAAACAAAAATCTGTGACTAATAATACAAATGTAATTCCAAATAAAACCACTGGCAACGCTAAAACCTGTTGGTCTACAATGTCGATGTTGAGAGAAGACAATTTTGCGGTACGTCCCATCATCATATCGAGACCAGTCACGACCATTTTAGTCAGTGATATAAAATTACTCTATATTATACATAGTTGAATTAATATTATTATGTAACATTATAGAGGTAGGGTACTCGACACTTTTTTAATTACCCTATATAATTTTAAAAATTTTTAAAATTCCTTTTTTTATGAATACCAATATATTCCGCGAGTATAGATAAACGGTAGTACATTTTTAGTAACTCAAAAATATTTAACTTGATTGAAGGTAAATTTTTTACTACAATATGATAAATATTATTTCAGTATACACGAGTATACCCGTACGACAGTACGACCGTTTTATCATTATTAAAAATTTTAATTAACACGAAAACAGATTATTAGCTTAAAAGGAGCGATGACGTATTTTGCAATAGTGTAAAGCATCTGATTATTAATGTTTTGTTTAATATGATAAACAGGTTTTTGATATTGGGAGTGTTAGATTGTATTTAACCTCGCAGTACACCTACCTATATTTGTTGGAAAATGGATTTAAACGACATCAAAAAAATATACATACTTGTGTGATTTCAATAATTTCAGCAAACTTATAAAATTGTTTTATTATATTCATGCGAGTTAAAAACAGCAAAACAGTTTTATATTTATATTGTAACCTGTAGGTATACCTAATGGCTAATTCATTAAATTAAAATTCCATTCGACGTAGGTTTCAAAACTTCGAATGACTATAGACTATATATATAGGATATAAACGCACGCGTACCTATTATTTCATCATAATATACTCAATGGTACCGTTTAACAGTTATCTGTTATTTTATTCGGAGCGTAGCGAACGATACATTGGTTCTACAATGATGTTTATTTTTTTTATACTCTGTACTAAATTTCTACCAAAAATCTTGTTCTGACATATCAACTGAAAAGGTGTAGCAGCACCTTTTCTGATTTTCCAAGCGGTTTCAATAATAATAATTGGGAAAAACGTGAAAATATATGAAAATAATTAATGCTTTTACATTTTAAATTTTGTTCTTTAATTCGCTGAAAAATATTCATAGAGACTTGAAATTCGGAAAAAAAAAATTGTATTTATCTTTATAGATGTGATAAAATTTTCAAAACATTGGAACCATTTTTAAGCTATTTATAGACATTTTAATTTCGCGAGTTTTTTACGTATTTTTTATTTGATGGGTAATCTGTAGATAAAACCGTTTAACCGAACAAAAATGCCTGAAAATTTAACAGAAGGTTTATTATAAGTCGTTATTTGCTATCGAAAAAAAAAATTGCGTGTTATGTAGTATTTTCTTTTTATACGAATTTTAATATCAAATTTCGACGAAAATCGGAAATATTTTGGCTTTTCGAAACATAATGTATGCCCGAACTTTGCTCCGAATCGTTTCGTTAGCAATGGTTAATCGTTGCTTATCTTCTCAACTTTCCATCTACAAGAGTGGCACACCTGTCTCCACAATCATCACTTTTTTTTTTTATCCGACTTGCATAACATATAACTGCGTTAGTACCCATACAGGCTATATAGACTATAAGTATACAGTTTGAGATGTGAACCCTCGTGGAAACAGGAATTTATATTTAATTGTACCAAGTATAGGTACATAATAATAACAAAAAAAAAAAAAAAAAAAGAGTTAATTATTGGGTTAAAAAAATAAGGAATGTTTTAGTACCGATTGCATAATATAATAATTCGATGTTCAAATTATGACGTAACCATCATCGCTCGATATGAATGCATAAAAATGTAATTATAATTAGATAGGTACGACTTTACATATTTAAACGGATGTATCCCTAATTCGTTCCAGTTTGAAGAAGGTATTTCGCGGAGACGAGCCGATTCGGTTCCCGTTTAATATCCACCCACATTTACACAATAAACACAATACATGTAGGTATAACGTTGTAAAATTTTAAATTTTTATTCAACTTTGATTTCGACGAGCACGAAATCTAAGCAGTTCTAAATTCCGAGTCGACAGTCCCGCAAGCCCGTAAGAATGGCAATGGCGATGCGCGTGTTTGACTATCTTACCGCGAACAACGGTAACCGATCCGACCGGTGTAGTGGTCGCATCGCAAAAGGTGGACGCACACTATACCGGCGGATGGAACGGTAGGATCCAACTGGATTCGCCGCTGATCACGGCAGCGAGCGGATACATACGTTTGTGCAGTTGTCGTCGATTCTCGGACAAAACAACACGTCTAACACGCCACTGCAACGGTAAAATAAGCATCGTCGGATAATTCGCCGCGTTGATAATTAGCCGGCACGTTGTCGGGAACTAGGTGTTTTGCGACCGTACGTCGCGGCAGGTACCGCCGATAACGTTAAAAGTCGTCCAGCCACGACGGCCTACGCCGCCTAATAGTTACCCGCCCAACATTAAATACCTATTGAACGACCGAGCAGGTCCGGGGACTCGCCGAACGCATGATAAATCGACGATGATAACAATTTTTTTTTTACCTTTGCACACGTTACCGCGGTTACGATCGGACAATAATTCCGCACGGACCTTTCCCGGGTGGCGGTGGTGGATTGGGGGGGGGAGGGGCGGGCGGGCGGTTACACCAGGTACGCGCGTAGGTACACCCATTTGACACGCGACCACGACGGTTTTGTTTCGACAGCGCAGTGCGATGGGCACCCGCGAGTACGGTGCCAACGCACGCGATACGGCGGCTGCGCTTCGCAAAAAAAAAAACGCCATCCGTGCGCCGGGCGAATTCGGCGAACGTAAAACGCGCCGGCGAGACGAGAATTAATTCCCCGATCGTTACACCCTGTACATCGCGCAGAGTGTTGGTTTTTTATTTTTTTTTTTCTATCCCCCTTCTCTTCCACCGGTTATCGCAACAGTTACGTAACACGGAATATTTCAAACATTCCGCGATATTTCTGCACGACGTTCTAGCGCGGCGCGGGTAAGTTGCCCGACCGATTTTTATGGCCGGTCGCATTAACGTGGCGTTACGGTCGCCGTCGTCGACAACGGCGGCGGAATTTGCATAATACATCGCTGACGGGTCGACCGGCGGTCGGTCGGAGAATACGGCACGATTGTCGTAAAAAAAACGTTTGCGGGACGAAAATTCACGGGAGAACCGCCCGGCAAGCGGGCGCACGCCGCGATACGATTTTTCGATTCTCGGCGCCGCCGCGTCGAACCAGTTGTAGGTGCGCGGGGGAAAAAAAAAAAAAAAAAAAAAAAAATCCAAAAACGTCACGGTGAACGCATTGCCGTGAAATATATTCGCTTTTCGTATCGCACGATGCGTGTGTTTTTATTTTTTTCTCGTAGCGTTGAGGGGGGGGGGGTTAGTAGGAGGGGAAGGATTATACGCACAGGTTCTCCGCCGCCTTGGGTATAATAATAGTCGCCTATACACGCACGCACACGCGCGCGCGCGCGCGATTTATGTAACGCGGAATCACGGATAATAATTTTATTAAACACTATTAATATAATATCGCATAATACACTGAACGTTATTATTATTATTATTATTATTATGCAAATAAAAATTATGTTATGCACCGGCAGTGTTGTACGTGTACGATAATTATTGTTATTAAAATGTACCTGTTCGGCGTGTGTGTACAGCGTATCATTATTGTCGTTGTTGTTGTTGGTTTTTTTTTTTTTTTTTTTTATTGGTATTACGCGGGGCTATTAAAATATTGTTACAGTAGGAACCGGGAGGTCCGTCGCCCGGCGGACGGAACGGAATGTGAACGGGTGCCGGTCGTCGTCGTCGTCCGGTTGGAAGTGAACGACGTTAGGACTACGGGCGAAACGCCGAGCGGAGTCGCGGCCGAGAACACCGAAACGTCAGTCACCGCGCGCGTACGGTCGCGGGGTTTATCCGTATTTGCGGCTGTTGCCGTTGAGCCCGGTCCACACCACTAGGGCCATGGATACAAGAAGAACATTTCGACTCGAAGCATGTGGACACGACCAAGGTTCCTACATACGTGTCCAGAAGTTACTAAATGTTTCGTCAACAATCCGTTGCAAGCGGCAGACATTTCCCATTGTTTCGTGTTTCGATCGAAAACGAAACGTGTCGCTTCCGTTGTGTAAACATACTTCGACCCGAAATGTCGTTACATGTCGCCCGAGTGTGGACAGGGCTTTAGGTACGATTACGACGATGGTGTTAGTCAATGTCGCGAGACCGTACAAACGCGCGGGACGGACCGCGTGCGACGATTCGCCGACGCGAAATAAAATGTTATTGGACGATGATAAATTTTGCTTATCACTTTATCAGCGAACGCATATAACGCGCATCTATGGCGGCCGAACGTCGTGCCCCAGCATAGATAACAGAATTTTTCTTGTTTTCGTAGGTCACGTTTCATTATTCCATGTTACGATGATGCTCGTGCAACGACATTCGTTGACTATTGCTATCCGTAAAGTGTTATTATTTAAAAATCAATAATCTACTCGAATGTACAATGTAAACTATAAACTACCCAGTGGAATATTGATTTCAGCGCTCAACAGTTTTTTTTTTTTTTTCGAACGTCCCCTTTCGTTCTCGTTCCTTTCCAAGAAACACCATCCTAGTATCTACACGCTATAAATAGGTTTTCGGAATCCAGTTTCATTTCGTCCCCCGACTGCAAATTGCACTGCGGGCGCCCTCGAGTCTGTACGGACCATTTGAACGGATGACCGAACGTCGCGCGCGGGTTTACCGCCACCACGGAACGTCGGAAAAAACGACGTCATCGTCGTGTTATCTATCGCCGTCGGACTAGTGTCGTCAACAACAACAACTCGCGGGTTGACCGTGCGCTGTGGTCGTTAACGTATCTTTCCGTACCTGTAATACCCAATAACCAAACGAAACCCCACCAGAGTGTAAACACCGCCCGCCCGCTCGACGTCACTGACCTACCGACTGCAAAGGTATTACCAGTTACCACCGCCACCGACCGTCGTTTCCTGTACTCCTGTGCGGTGTTCCGTTTTTTTTTTTTTTATTTCGTTATTATTATTATTCTATTTTTTTATCATTTTATCGTGCAATTACATCTAAACAAGACACTGTCGTCAACGTCGTCCGGCAAGTTACACCGTATACGCCGTCCTCGTATTAACCCGAACACAGTATTATTTCGATTCTATTTTTATTTTCAACGTTCTCTGTGCTAAACTTATCTATAGATTTTTCTAGTTTCCGTGTGTGTGCGTGTGTGTGTGTACTTTTTTCCCCTTGTTGTACTGAATGCCAATATATTCAAACGAATATTGTAATAATAACAACTTTTGCGAAAAGTATTTCTTTTTAATTTGCTACAAGTCTATTTTTTTTCGGACTGCTCGTTTACTAGCGTTGTCCACTCTGGTCGACTATTGAATTCATATTTGTTGTCCACGGTTCGTTCCGCACACACTAGACTCATGCAACTGAAAAAACATGGACGTTTCGAACAATTACAAGCCTGTCCTGTGCAAGTTGGACCATGACAACTGCGTGTCGCTCGTTAACATTATCAAGTCGTTCAATACACCTGTCAGCGAAGAGCATGCATGGGCCCTGTGCTATCAGTGTGCCAAATGTTTCAAGAACGCCTTTGAACGCGAGCCCAACAGATGTCGAGTGGTTAAGAATCTGGATGAAGTCCGTATCCACAAGGACGGATTTATACACCCTAGTACCATAATAAATAGTGAAGAAATTGGTATGTGATTTACCTACATATTTGTACTTTATTAAATACCCATTTGAATTAAATAGAAATAGCTAGTAACCAACCAGTAGTAGGCTCAGGGAACGATGTGTAACTCGTAGATTTCCATGGATATTTCTAATTTTTCTAATGATTTTTATAGTAATGAGACCTACCGACTTAACTAGGATCCTAGTTACCTAGATAGTTTATTTTTAATATATTAGACCTACAACTGGACATGAAAAAATGTTTTAAATTTATGTCTATAAACCCAATGCTCACCCACTTAACTGTACCTACCCATGTTTAATTAATTGTTTGAAACAAATACTAAATCCTAATTCTATTAATTAAATCTAAACCTTGATGAAGTGTTAAACTTCACTTAGGTAAAACTAGTTTATGTAGCAAATGGTCCTCCAATTAGTAATTTTGAAGAAACTATTTTTCAGCTCTTTTTCATTCGGGACACTATATTTTAATTAAATGGATTTTGTATTTTTTGGTACCTACGTGAATATTGTAAAATCATTTTCCTCTAGGAAATTTACATCTACATCTAAATATTTTGCCTAAATAGTATAATTTGTAATCTATTTTTTTATCTTGTTTGTTTTAGAAATAATTCAAGAAATAATTAAGTAGGTAAACATTAACATTAAATTAGAAAATGTTAAAAATCATTTACATTTACTTATTTATAACTTTTTTTCAATAAACTAAATTAATAAAGAACTTGTTTTTCCTTGATTATATCTGCGATAAAATGTCAAGTAAAATACATATTCATCTTGATTTACCTACCTAAATATTATTTCAAAGGTAAAAATGTAATTTACTTTTTATAAAAAATTTGAGATGTTTGTTAAATAAACTTGGTTTTAAGTAATAAAAGTCTTAATATATCAATTAGCTTGTACAGAAGTGCCTTAGATTCTCTAAAGGCTGTGTATGGACAATGTGAAAAATTAAGTCAAGTAGAAATTTAGGACCAAGGTGGTTAATCCCAAATAAATAGGATAGGCGACTGAGAAAAATATCTAGATAATTATTACCTTTCATTATATTTCTAACTATGATTTTAATCAAGTTTTACAATAAAACTAGGTAGATAATGGAAATATAAACTTTTTTTCCTGCAATTGTTATGCTAATTTAAATATTTTAATATTCGTATGAGGATTGTCAATGCATCTATTAACATAGGAAACATTTAGTTTGTCTAAATTTTACTTGCACAGGTGCAATAATTATCTGTCATTGTTTGCTCGGAAAATAGGTAGCCATGGTAAATTATAAACATCATTATTCATTATAATGTTTTACCAACAAATCTCACAAAACAATTTTTAAATTTTATCTATGTAGATACCTATCATGTTTTAAAATTGCCTATCTAAGTTTTGTTTAAACAATTGACATCTAGGTATGTTTGCAAAAGGTAAATGTCCATTAAATATCCAGATGCCACCATACATATAAAAAAAAACTATTAAAACTATAAATATGAATGTCACAATTAATACCTTGGTTACTTAAATATAAATTTGTATAATTTATATATATAGAGAGAGAGAGAGAAAGAGAGAACAGGTAATTAATAGAGATACAATATATGATCAATATTTTCACATAAGACACTCATTATTTAGGAAAGTAAGTACCTAGGTACTTTTTAACTTTTGAATTTCAGAATTTTTGTTTGGAAATGTCAGTTAAGTTCGGGTAAACCACTTAATTACCTATCTCTATTATTAAAAACTAGTTTAAATACATTTTGGTGTTAAAATTTTAATTTTCTATAAAATCGTTTGTGAGCTTCTACAACTTAAAAGGTATATTTATTTTGGAGTCAAATTTAAAAATGCAGTGGAGTATTATTTGTGTAGTAGCGTCCTGATAGTGATCCCCTGGTCTATTAGATTTGTAGGTACCTAGTTTTTTTATGTTTTTAACCTTCTATTTGGTACCAATTTATTATATTCTATAACTAGCATACATTTATCAAGATAATATGTTTAATGGTACATACTTATTTGTTCAAAGCAAAAGTTACAGCCTTACTGGTTCATCAATTACTTAAGTGTGTTTATTTGATATTTGTATAGTAGTTATCTAGTTCTATAGTGTTATATAAAGTAATGACATACTGATTCACTTGTACTATAATGATTAAGATAGCTTTAATATATGATATACAAATATATCACATTGGTTTTATAATTTCATTTTTATGCAGATCTAAAAAAAAAAAATGTATAAAATATGTTATACTATATCTACTTATGTAGGTAAAAGAAAAATGAATATATTTAAATTGCAATGTAGATACTTGCTAGTTCATGATAGTTATTGCGTGTATGTACAAACTATTTATTCTTCATTGTAACATTTTTCTTTTCAGTATGCATCTAAAAAGGTAGCTTATAGCTAGTAAATTAACATTTTGGTATTTTTGTGCTTTAATTTTAAAGTTTGTACACTAACCACTTTATTGGTTTTCTAAGAGGTTTTTTTGCTCCAAATTTAAATATATGGTATATTTACTTTTTGTTGAGTATTGTGCAGGTGTGCCCAACCTTTTTCAACTTATGGATCTCATTCAAAATTTATATTTATACTAGCTGCTGTATATACTGGTTCAATTTGATAAAATCTACAATAGATATAGTATTATATTTGATCACTAATCAAATTTTTGAACCGTATAGTGTGTGTTTAATTGAATTTAAAGTATTGAAGCTTATTAAAATAACATTTTTTTTTTTTATCATTATTTTTATTTTTGTGTATACCTATAAAAATTTCTAATTTTATTAAATGTTCACGAGCCGAATTCGCAGCAACCTGCGGGTTGGGCACACCTGATATTGTGTATAATATTTTGTATTTTGTAAATTATATGCCAAGGCTGTTTAAAAAATTCTCCCAATTCAAACATATTATTTAAAATGAAAATATACTTGGTTATAAAAGTTAAGTACCTCGGTATAGATAACTAAGAATAAGTTAAGACATTATTTGGTATATACTTTACCAATTATTATTTTGGGATATTTAATCAATTAAGATGAAATACTAATTTATTTGTATTGAAGTTATATAAGTAAATTATGCATTTAGGAACTGTATAACATATTATTATATATTGTTTTATGATGTATAAATAATAAATACCTACCTATAAATTAAAAATTTAGTATTAATTATTAAAATATTTATACCCTAAAAAGTTTCAATAATATTTAATAATATTTATATTATTTTGTTTCTTTCAGCCGAATGCCATGAAGATATTGAAAAACTTAGTAATGAAAATGATAATAAAACTATACTTAAACATCATGTAAGTATACAAGATACGACCTATGTTTAATGATTATAATATATGAATAATACTACCTAATAGATAACATATTATCAAATTTAAAATTTGATCTATAATAATATATATATATATATATATATATATATATATTATTGTACTAAGGTAGAGTAGTTAACTTATTGTCTTGTGTAAGATAATTCTTTTCAATTTTATTTAATATACATTATATGTTTGGTAACCTTTATGTAATCATTTATTCATGTTGAACAAGCACCCGTATACGATATTGCACCATATTACACCAACATAAAATCTACTTTTTTAAAACTATTTTAAATTCTGAGTGGAGCGGAAATGTAAAGGTTTTAATATGATGTGTACATATTATGTTATTTTATTTGTGTGTACACACATTTTTACCCTATTTATATGTATTTTACATTTTTGAGTTTTTAATTTTTAATTTAATTTAACGTAAATAAAATTGTTTGACCAAACAGAAATGCTTTAAAATTTAACATCAACTTCATTATGAGTTGTACATAGTGGTAAAATAAAAAAATTCTTTGTAATCTAGTATTTTTTTTTTTTTTTTGTACATGTGTTAATATCAAATTTTGACGCAAATCGTAATTATATAGAGTAATAAAACTTCACTCAGAATTGTTTTTCGTTGGTAATTATTTATTGTTGTGTACTGATATAAATTAAATAACTATGTATTTTACTTTCTTAATTTCCCACCTATACAAATGTACAATGTACATTGTACACCTATCCTCAGTACCAAACTTTTTATACAATTTGAGTTTAAAATTTTAAAATTAAACTATTTTTCTTTTTCTCTTTCGCCTTCATTACAACTATTTGGAGTTTACCACTCTCATCCTAAATATCTACTTGACCCGATCTCCTAAATCATCCTTGCACACACTGACCTTGTATCATTTTCAATCGCATCCAATTACCTTTTTTCCAATCTTCTTTTATCTCCTATTCCTAATATGTATATTTTCATTGCCGTTTTTACTGCTTCTGTTTCTACTCATGTTATGTTCAATCTCAGTCTATTATCTCTCATTTTGTCCACCATTGAAGTCACACCCCAAGGCACACTTATGTCATCTTTTATATAATCATTCTTTATTGTATCTACTTTCATAACTCCACTCATCCACCTAAGCATTTTCAAATTCATTATACTTATTCTCAGTTCTATTTTTTTGTCTGTCTTCAACCCTAAACCATACAAGATAGTCTATTTCACGATATTTATGTAAAACCTACTTCAAGAAATACTTTTTAGTCTTTTTGGGGTTTTTTTTTTCATATGAGGTGCTTGACACTTCTTTCCATTTAATTCAGCTATACTTAATTTTATGTTTCAAATTATCAAAACCACCATTATTTTGTACAAAAAAATCTTAGGTACTTAAAACTCAAATTTGTTTATTACATTACCACTTATCATCATTTACTTGTCTTTTTCCATTAACCTCTTATTTTCGTTTTCTAAACTCATATTCTATATACTTCATTTTACTTTTACCTATCTTTAGTTTCTTTCCTTCAATTGTTACTCTACATTCCTGAAGCTATTGTTAACTTCTTCCAGTTTTTCTTTTATCAAAGCGATATCATCTGCAAACATAATGCATCATAGTACTTCATTTTGTATTTCCTTGGAGGTGGGAGGTTGGGTCAAGTGGAAGTTTAGAAGAAGAGTGGCTGACCCCAAATTGTTAGAATCAAGGCTACGGAGAAAAATAAAAGGATTTTTATTGTTTAATAAATGTGATGTTAATTTTATAACATATTCAATATCTAATTTTTTTCTTAATTATGTTTGTAGGTTATTCATTTTTAAATAACCAACATTTTTATTTTAATGCTCTGGGAACCATGTACCTATTATAAATATTAACATAATTTCTAATGCATGAAAATGAGTTGTTAATAATTAAAATAATTTTCACTGTGATTAAATGCACATGTATGGTAGTTCTTATGTTGGTACTTTTTCTACCTATTTTGCTTCATAACCAATTTATCCAATTAATTGTACTTTCTTTTTTACCAAATTTAAAATTTTGACTAAATTATATTTTATATTCTGAGTGTACGGCAGAAGTTAGTTTTCTCAATATGAGTCCTAAAAACACTGTTACAGTTAGTAAAGTTGCTCTAAATTGTTCATACTGTGTCTCAAAAAATGCAGATTTTCCTCCCAGTAGAGCAATAACTGGAATATTTTTCTATATTCCAAAAGTTTTTTTTAAGTTCATATTTTTATGATTTATTTAATAATTTGTTGATTATTTAAAATATATGATTAAAATATTACATAGTTACGAAGAGACAAAGGCAAATTAGTAAAGTGGTTAAGTCAAATTTTAGAATTAATTATAATTAGCTAATAATGAATATAATAAGAATTCAAATTCAAATAATTCATTAAAAATAATGAAAATTGATATATCTTCATTATCTCAGGACGTACTGCAATAAATATATCTTTATATAATACTTTGTATTATATGATAGTTTAATGATATATATTTACAATGATTTCCATAGGTAATAGCCAGTTTAGGATATATAGTTTTTCAAGTATTAGATTTTGGAATTGATGAAGACGAAGAAAGATCATTAAATCCAGAATTAGAATCATTAATAAAACGTATGATAGCTTCATGTAAGTATTATTAATTATTAATGTTTTCCATTTGAATAATAAACAAATATATGTATTATTTATAATATCATTTAGGTAGGTACTATAATATTATTATACAGGGTATCCCATGAAAATATAATAAGTTTGATATATTGGAATGTAATAACTTTTTTCTGATTTTTTTTTTCAATTTAAGAAATAAGTAGTTCATAAATGTTGCAAAACCATTATATTTTGTCACCCTCAGTTTTGGGGGAGTATAAGTTTAAATAAATATTTTGGTGTTGAAATGTTTGATCTTTATCAACCCGTTGACGGGGGAAAGTAGCATGATTGCATATCCTGTGGTGTTTTAATAGTGTTACACTTAACCCCCCCCCGCCAAAACCTTAAAACTTAAGGTTTATTCATAAGAACCCTCCTAAGAATATCTCGAAAATGAATTAATGGAAATTAATCATTTCTACACCAAAATTTATTAAAACTTCTACTCCATCTATTTATGACATTTTTAATATAGGTTGCCATTTGATAATCAAAAGTAGATAGTCTGTTCATCTCCAAATATAAGAGTGACAAAAAATAATGATATTGTAAAATTTTAGAGCTACCTGTTTCTTAAATTGTAAAAAAAAGAAAAAATCTTAAAAAAGATAATAATTTTCAATAAGTATATCGCAATAATCATATTATCTTCGTGGGACACCCTGTATTATAGGTGTTAAATAATTTTTTCTAAAATGTTATTATTTTAACTTTTATATATTTTCATTGAACATTAATCTTTAACCTATTGGTCGTCTGCAATTTTTAAAACAAATATAATAATATATTATTGCTAATAAAGTATAATTAATTGTTAACAAAGAGATAAATCTATTTGTTTGTCACCTATATATAAATATGATAATTTTATGTTAAAGCACATTAAACATTGTTTAATGCATATTTAACAGTTCAAATTTCATTTAATTTATTTAAGTATTTAAATATTATATATTTTTGTCTTTTACATTTATGGTAGCTATTTATTTGTTGAATAATGTTGGGGTAAATAAGGTAAAGTTGATCGTTAAGAGGGTGCTATACTTACATGATGTGCTGTTTTCATCATATAACCGTGATACATTGCACATTTCCGTTCATCAGTAATGATTACTCCGTATTGTTAGTTTTAATATTATAATGAAATGACATATTATAAAACGAAAAAATAAGAACATTATCTGTATTGAGTAGTGATTCTCGTAATTTTAATTGTTAAATGAGATAATATGTGTGTGTATGTGGAGTATGGCAATTAAAATATGCTTATATTTCGCTTAAAAATTTGAAAAACGAAGAAAACAAAATACGACAATGTTGCGCCGATAATTTTCTTAGCATTAGGTTTGATAACAGGTCAATTAATTTTAATATTAAAACTAACAGCACAGAGTTGTCCTTGCTGAATGAAAGTTTGCTATGTTGCGCAGTTTTATGGTAGAAACAGCACATAAGTATGGCGTCCTCTTAATGAATGCTGAGTGTGATCATGGTATTTCTTTTGTATGATGTGTTCATGGCAATTCTACTTATGCATTTTCCATTCACTATTATAAACTTTTTATTATTAAAACTGGCTACTTAATTTAAGTATGTTACAGTTGCAACTACTTTCCACAAAAAGTAGTTCATTAAAAAAAAATAACAAATTTTTCATTAAAACGATCTTTATTATGATGCGTTTTTGATTTGTATTTGTGTTTGTCAATAACTTCAATCAGTTCCAATTAAAAAATAAAGATACTTTTTTTGCGATAATTTTTTGATTTTCATAGTAATTTGAAAAAAATGGACAAATTTACGGCAATATAAGTTATATTATTTTCAGAGATTTTACGAACCCTGATTTTCTAAATTCCCGATCTAAATTAAACTTTCCTTAAAATTAACGAAATCGAACCGAATTTTTTAAATATTTTATCGAACTTAATAAAAGTAAAAAGGTTAAGTTAGGTAAAAAAATTTTTAAATTTTAAATCTATAAAATTATAATATCATGCAAAAAAATAGAATTTTTCTTTTTCGTAACTAGACCGCTCTGTCCCACCATAGAACATTGTACTGATGCCTCCGCAAAATCGACATCGAATGATTGCCGAACAGAACCGAACACCCAGAGTTTGGTGCGGTTCGAAAATCGAACACTTACTCACATTTCTAATTATTTTGAGTTGTTGTTTTGTTGTAATTCAATTCCAAATTATCATTGAGACCTGTAATTTTCACTAATACTAAAAATGACCTATTCTGGACGTGGTAAAATTTCCTTAAAATTCTGTCAAATCTTTAATTATTTATAGGCATATGATATCTAAAACAATGTCATACCCATCCACGGTATCAGCTCTTTTAGATTCGGAGCGTAGTAAGTGGTCTATTGGTTTTATAATGATGTGGTGTTGTTTTTTTTTTGTGTGTGTGTGTCTGTGTACAACTTTTCTGTAAGTTAATATTCTGTTGTTGGTGTCTTAGGGAGGTAATTTTTTGATTTTCCTAGGGGTTTTCAAAATAATTGCGAAAAAACCTGAAATAAAATTATTTCGTAAAACGGCAAATATTTATGGCGCGCCACGACTTAGCAACTTAACCGTTATCATTGTTTTTGTTATATTTACACAATTTTTTCTACCAGAAATATTGCTCCAATCCAAAAATGACAAAATATCAATTTTGTTCCTTTTAATATTCACTGATAATGAAAGTCAGTTTTTTGATATCTTGTGTATTTTTCATTATAATTGGGGAAAATTAAAAAAGTCGAAATATACGATTTTGTTCATGTAATGGCACAACTATTTTATTGTTTTAAATTTTTATTTCTACAAAAAATATTGATCCAATAAAAAAACATCAAGATATATTTTTTGATGAATTAAAACGTTTTTAGATTTTCTTTGTAGTTATTTTAATAACTAAGCAAAACCGAATAAAACGTAAAAAGTACAGGAATATTTACGACAATAATTATTTTTTATTTTAAATTTAAATTTTTAATGTTATTTAGTTTAAAATATTGTTAAAATGTTTACAGAAAACTTTTTCAGAACGTGGTAAAACTTTCAGAACTTTTGAGAAATTTATAGGCATTTTAATTTTGTTAGTTGTTAGATTTAACAGAAATGATTGTAAATTTTGATACGAGGTTTATTATAAGCTGTACTTAGTGTTAAAAAAAAATTAGTTTAATGCAGTATTTTTAAAATTTTTTTTTATAAGAGTTAAAATCAAAGTATAATCGAACTTAGCTCTAAATCGTTTTTATTATTAATGGTTTATCGTTACAGGTATAAATTAAATAATTTTGTGTATTTCACATTGCCCATTACCCACCTACAACAGTTGCCATATCCGTCTACAGTATTAGCTCTTTTTTTTTTTTTTTTTTTATCAATATTGTTTATGATAACATAAAACCCATGTAATTATATATTTTTGAAAACTTTTATTTGTAGTAAATGTTTAATTTGAATAATGTTTCACTAAGTGTTTATCAAATTCGATCACAAATACTTAATACTTGTACTGTAAGAAAAAATTATAAATTATCAAAAATAAGGATACCTACCTATATTTTTTTTTAATTAATATTTGTTGATAAAAATATTTAAGTTTTGAAAAAATTATGGAACTTAGTAAATCTTGTTTTTATTACTACTAAGTATAACCTATGATAAACCTATCTAGAAATTGTTGAGTATTTTTGTAGAGACAAAATATTTTATTTATTTATGTTCAGATGGTAGTAGGCAAGATGTTCGGCTCATAAAATACCAGAATATTGTTCTAGAATTTCACTATGTCTAAAAAAATTTAATATAAGTATTTGGTTTTAATAATTTTTGTTCACTGAATTTCAAAAAAAAAATTACATACTTAAATAGAATTTCACTTCGAATTTAATAAATAAAATCTTATGTCATAAAATTAGTATAATATTGTATTAGTATCTAGTCTGAACATTTAATTTCCCTTATCCATGAAAATACATTTAAATAACCATTGACAATTATATTATTTTTTTTTATCTGTAGTTGAATATGGTTGTCATGCTCAATCTATAGACCATGGGCAATCAGGTGAAACTGACGATGAAGGAATCGAAAGAGATTCAGCGGAATGTGAAGAAATATTAAGAAATAATTTTGCTACTTTTGATGATGTTTTAGAAGTAAATATTTACTTTTGTGTAGTTTGTTTTAATTTTTGTGTATAAGTTGTATTTAAAAAATAACTATCGGATGATACATAATTTGCTGAGTTTATCTATTTACTTAGCAAATTACTAGAATTATTTAATTTTGTTAATATTTATTTTAGGAATGCAGTAGACATATAGGTGTGTCAGGTTTGGGTTCTGAAACTCATTACAAAGCAGTCTGTAGAGCTTTGGTGACAGAAGCTCTGGAACTGTCATCATTTTTAGATAAATTATCCGATGGAAGTGTCTGTTTAAGGCACAGGAATTCTACTTCGGCTGAATTGAGTACATTGGATTATAGTGATTGGGTGAGTTTAAACTATACATAACTTTATATTGGTACAAAATATTGTATTGTTTTTTAAATTATTAAGTCGCATCTTAAATTCATAATTAAAATTAGTTTATGTTCTATAGTAGAGCATTTGTGTTCACATAATTATAACACATCACCTAGTGTAATTATGTAATTATCAAACTAACCTACAGCGTTATGGCTTTGGGAAGTAATTTGTAAATTCTTATTATTTATAACAATAATTTATGACATTAAAACTAACACATTTTGTTGTGTTACTTTTTGTCAGCCCAACCGCAGAAAGTGGAGTATTTTACAAGTATGTTTAGATTATTGTAAAATAAATTACATTTTATTATAGTTAAAAATAATTAGCTCATAAAATATTTCATTTATAACATTTTCGGAATAGTAAATTAAAAAATAATATTTATTGTGTGATTAACTACATCATTTCATACTACCATTAATTTCATAAACATTTAATAAAAATACCAAGAATCAAAATCATGTGCTTTTGTTTTGCTAGGGAATTACGTTATTGAAAACCTGTATTTTTAAATTTTAAATCATATTTTTGATATCATTAATAATAAATTAATATTATTAAATAATAATTAATGTATACTTGATGATTCAAAATTTATTTGCATGTTAATGTATGTATATTGTGTGTATTAATTTTAAAAATTTTGTAGGCCCGTTTATGGATACAATTAATACGTGAACTACGACGTGGTGTGCAGTTAAAAAAAGTTGATCAAAGGCCCCATAATAGAGTAGAATTTGTTGAATATGCATTGACTCCATATGAAATGTTAATGGATGACATAAGGTCGAGAAGATATACTTTAAAAAGAGTAACCCCTCCTGAAATTCCAGCAAGAATTCAAAGAGATGCCCACGATGCAATACTTGAATTTATCAGATCGAGACCACCTTTGAAAAGTGTGAGTAAATCAATAGCCGTTATTGTACAAAGAATTTCATAGATTTGTGTGCCTCATAATACAATATCACATTATACATGTGATTATACATGCTATTAACAAGATTTTTTGTTGAGTTGTTAAAAATGTCTGATAATTTTCAATTTATTTCCAAGGAATTATTTATAATTAAATAATATTGGTGAATTTAATATTATTTGTTTTTCTATGTATATAAATATTAAATTATTATCAGCACTCAGTAATGACCCTTTATAAAGATTAAGTAAAAGTTATATATTTAATCTTTTACATTAATAGCTTTGTATTGTAAATTGATATTTTTTTATATCATTTAATTATCAATGAATAATAACAATAATAAAAAAAGTTATTACTTATGTAATATTTTATTATGGGAGAAAAATGTTGTTAAATCTAATGTGGTGTCTATTAATAAAACAAATTATTTAAATATAAATTCAATTATCACAGTAAGTTATATTTATTATTAAAAATGTTTTTTTAGGCCTAACTCATTAACTTTGATATATTTGTATTCTTAATCTTACTGTAATTTAGATATAACTTTGATTTATCTATTTCATCATACCAATAATTATGAAACATAGTGGTTTTAACTGTTAGTGTTCATTTATGTTTCAGGCTGCTGCAAGAAAATTAGCTCCTCGACGCCAAGATAAACTTTCACCAAGAGAACATTTGTTAGAATGTATAAAAAGTGGAAACGTTAAGCTACGTTCTACATCATTAACTAGTAAGTCCATTTTGATTCTGAATAAAGTTGGAACAGCATTTTTTTTACAGTAATGTTTATGGACAGATAGCGGACAAAATGTGTTGTGTTAATATTTAACATTGGTTTTTTTAATTTCTTAGTTTTGGTATTTTATATAAAAGTTTAAAAATTGTAAAAATTCTCTTGTCATATTTAAACCACAGTTATTTACTCTAGATTAGAATATGCCCTATAAATTCTACTATACTGTTAACCGTCGTCACGGACAGTGAATTAGTTAATTTAAAAGTTATTACTTTTTTGGTTTTACTGAACAATTAAGTAGCTTTTATTATAAATATACAATTACTTTAATTATAGTTAATATGTCAGTGGCAATGATGACATAAATTAAACTACCAATCAAAAAAACAATATTACTTAAATCATTAAGAAAGCAATGGCACTAACAATATATGACATGCATATTGTATTACAAAATGTTTGTGTAAATGTTTACAAAAACAATCATTGAAAACAAAAAACAACAATAAATCACTGTATATTTCACAGTCTAGCAGTTGGGACAATGACAACTAGTGCTTAAAATAAACATAAACACTGTAAATGATACATATGCAGTGATGTTTTGCACATCTTCCAAACTAAGTAGATTGTGGTAGTTTAAACTGTATTTCTTAAGCCCCATTAAAACCCATTTTGTAAAAACTAATGTGTATAAATGACTGTTAAATTGTTAATTTTTTTTTTTTTGTATTTGAAAAAAAAGTATATCAATGTAATATTATGTATTAATTATTTAAATTTTTAAAATTTGGTATCTTTACAATTTTTAATTTGATATTCTTTGTTAGAAAGTCCTTTACATAATATCAAGTCATCAAGATCAATGTCGAGTCCTCCAAATTCCTCTCGTACTAATAAATCAAAAAGTAAACTTAATACTTTTAAAGTTTAATTGTCTATCTGTAAAAGTATAGATTTTAATTAAAATTTGTATTGTTTTGATTTTTTAGTTCATTATGACGATTCTATGATCCATTCAGAAGAAGAAACCATGTCAAATCAATCAATAAAAAGTTTGATCGATTCAACTAAAGAACGCAAGCTAATAAAAGTAGATTTTTCTGCGTTGGCACGTTTAGTGGTACGTTTCTATAGTTTGACATTATTTTCTCATGCATTTGTTTAATATTTACATTTTTATTTCTCATATTAAATTTACAGAGTTCTGATTCTGAAGATGATTCTGAAGACGAAGTAGAAGATAGTAAATTTATGACTACAAAAGTGGACTCCAAAGATGAATCAAAATATTTGGGAATGTCCAATCAAGGTAGTGAATCCCAACAAAAAAACTGTGATTTACACTATCGATTTAAAACTTTGTCGCCAACCCCATCCTGTGTGATATCATAAAACATTTTTTGTTGATTGTAGTACCTTAAATTCCAATACCATACTAACATTCCTAGTTCATTTTTTTTTAATTATTTTTTTTAATATTATTTTTCTATTTTTTATTTTTTTTTTAAATTACAGTCTGATCTGTTTCATTATTGTTATTTGGATTATGAATATCATTACACCTATATTTTCTAATATTAAATTTTTAAAGCTATTAATTTATTATACTTAAATGTACACATGATCTAAAGTTATAAATAACAAATATTATGTTTAAAATTACTATTAAAAAAAAAAAAAAAAGGTTTTGTCTTAAAATTTAAATCTTGAATAATTCATACAGTTTTAACAAATTTTTCTAAATATTGTTGTGTTATATTTTGTATATAAATATGAGGTGATTGATTTATGAAATTATGGATTTTTTTTATTATTTTTTTTTAATCAACCATTATTCCACGTGTATTATATTTTTGTTACTTTGCATCTCATACTACATCTTTGCTTCACCTACCTTGGCAATTAAGGTTTATGATTTTTATTTTATTTTTGTGAGTTTTTTTTATTTTTGTATAGATTTTTATTTTATAGAATAAACATTATGTTGAAACTATAAAACTGCTAATTATTACGTGTTATTCTAAAGAGAAAATTTAAAATGATGTGTACAAAATCCAGGTAAGTTGCATAACCTTTGCCCAGTATAATCCAATTTATTTGCATTTAAAATATAACTTTACTGTTGCTACAATAATACCAATAAAAATAACACCCTAATTACTAATACTGCTTATATAGTGTTGTTCAAGCATATATAATGATACTACTATAACAACAATAAAAACATTAAACATTCTATAATTATTATTATTATTTGACTAACCTTATAAATTAATTTATTAATTAATTAAATTAATTATTTATCTTGACTAATAACAGTTCAGTATGTTTTAATAATCATAGTTAAACAATTAAAACTGGATATATTTTTAACAAAGTGACTAATTTTATTTTATGTTTGTTTTTAGTTATGCAATTAATAATAAATACAACTATATGTTTTAGATTTAATTAATAATTATATTCAACTCTTTTAGTGAATGTATTTGGTGTTCTTAGATTAATTTTACTAAACAATTTATATTTTTTGAAATATTGTTCTTCATAATTAGACACTGGATTTATGTTCTTTTAAAATCTTCAAAAAAGCGCTTAAAAACATTTAGAAAATAAAAATGATGGAAAGGTTTTAAAGTTTTTCTCTAATGGCTTTGAATTGTTAAATTAAATTTACTAACTACAAAAATGATTAAACAAATTTCTCTTGAATAAAATTTGTATTACAAAAAAAAAAAAATTGTATTAATCATTTTTGTAGTATTAGAAAATTGTATTTAGAAATTAAATTCGTTGGAGAGAGAACTGTTAATCCCCTCTATTACTTTTGTGTTTTTATGTATTTATTAGTGATATTTTTCAAGGCTTTTTGATGTTTTCAATTTTTTTTTTTTTTTTGTAGATTTTAAGAACATATAAATACGGTCTCTATAAATAATTAATTTTTAAAGTAATCATATTCTGGAAGCTGAATGGAATATTAACTCGCTTAATATTTAAAGTATTTTGTTCATTAAATGGAAATTAAATATATATAACATTTATTTTTATTCGAATTGTGTATTTATGATATTTTTATCTCTTATAGGAGGAGAAAGAAGACCTTTGGATCCAATTTCAAATAAAAATGTTCACACAATAAGAAAACAACAACGGAGACATACAATTGCTGACCAGTCGTCTCTGTCAAACATCAAATCAATGGGCTTATGGAAGCAAGCTCGCAGACAATCTGTATTTAAAAACTCTATACCTACTGTAAGTATGATTAAATTATACAGTTGTATATTTATTACTCTAATTATTGTTGAGCTGATTGTTTGCAAAATTAAAAAAAAAAGTGTTGTGGTTTTTCTTCATTATTTGAAATCAATATTTATCAAATTAGTTTCTCTTTTCATCTTTTTGTATCGATTTATTTATTTATTAACTTTTGTGTGATCTACTCACAGACAAGATTGTGTGTGATTTGGTTTAACATAAAAGATATTATAGTCTTCATCTCTGTTAATGACCTAGAAGGGGATTAAAGGTTCTAAGGTATGTTTTGTATGTGAATTAGATTATTTTTGTTGAATTATGGGTTACTTTAGTTATATGGATGAAATGAAAAACAAAAAATAAATAATAAATAGAAACAAAAATGTCATAACAACGTAACCACTTAAAATAAGGAGTCTATCTGTCTGTCGTTCTTTTATGGGCTTCAAATAAGATGAACCAATTGGATAACACGTAAAACGTCATCTTTGAATCTTTGTATTTTTTGGTACAGTAATAACACTACACTACTACAGTACTATTATGTCTTCATAATTTTGGCATTATTATAGCGGATACGTAGTTTAATTTCTGTGTTGAGTAGGTATCTATGGTAACACGGATGAAAAAGTGTATGACACACTAGAATACATAAAATTTACTCACCCACTATCCAACTTTTTTTTTTTTGTTCAAGAAACTGATATGCACAAAGAAAAACGGGAATAAAATAAAAACAATACCGAATGCGGGACAGCTATTTAATGTTCATTAAGTTAAGCGAAATATTTTCTTAAATACCATCTAAATAAGGTTTCTAGTTTCCGAGTGATTTATGCACTAATTTCCTTAGAATAGGATCAGTTGCAGACCTCCTGGTTATAAGTTATATGTTCGTTTCTGACAGGGCATCAGCATTTTTGCAAAAAAAACTGCACGATGGCACTCAAGATAGCGAATAGTATGGTGCATTTACAATGTTGATAGAGCGTGTTCTGTATCGATTCTCCCATTACTTTTAACTATTCAATTTTTATCTCTATAGTATTTTGTTTATTATTTAAAACGAAACAAATTGTTTTCAGAGTGATTGTTTGACTTTGACACTGCAAGAGTTGATCCATATTCGTAGTGTACTTACCAAAGCAGAAATTGAAAGTTTACCAGTCGAAGGAAATTTTAAAGAAGACGTGGAAAATCGCAAAGTAAATAGTTTTTTTTACACATTTTAAATTCAAATAGAATTTAATAATTAAAAATAATAATAATTTTGTTTTTTTAGGTTTGTTTTTTATGTATGAAAACAAGATTTGGAATATTTGGTCCCTGGGGACAGGAATGTAAAATGTGCCAACGAACGGTGTGTTCAAAGTGTTGTACAAAAGTAATATAATTATTTGAAAAGATAAACAAACAGAAATTTATTGATAATTTAAATGTAAACATTATTTTTTAATTACAGATGCGCATGCCCACTGAGCATTTGTCTCAAATACCAGTTGTAGCACTTAGTCCAAATGTAGCTTCATCTGAACAAAATCCTTGGTGGTCAAAGAGTAATTGGGGTAGCGCTCCATCAAGTCCTCAGAAATCACTGTCAGTCGGCGGTCCTACTTCCAACAACAGTATGTCTGCAAGTTACCATGGTTCATCATCGATCACACAAAATGTCAATCGGTAATGATTTATTACAAAATTATATAGTATGGTTCAATCAAAAATTGTATTGTGTATGCTGTAATGTAATAATATACTGTATATTTCAGTGCCAAATATAGTGCACAGATGGCTGTCTGTCTCGACTGTAAAACAATGGTGCTACAAGAAATCAAAACGTCTAGGGTGAATCGCTCAAATTTACTGCGGAATTTAACACTAGACTTGTCATCTGTTTATTAGAAAATCATTTCCAAGTTAATTGTACTTTTACCTGTGTTAATGTTATTTTATAGTTACATGTTTAAAAATTTGATTGTCATAAATTAATTGCTTAATATTTTTTTAAATTATTGTAATATTACTAGTAGATAATTACCAGCAAATATTTTGTTATTTTGAATTATATTTAACTAAACTTATTTTAAACTATTAAATAGTTCAATTAATTGAATTAATTACTAGTTGGGTATACCCAGTGATAATAAGCCATAAAAAAAAGCACAAATTAAATGTGTGCACTGTACATTGTTCTAGATTATATTGTAAAACATAAGTAATTATGTACCTGTTTTTTCCCGGTTAGATCAAGTAATAATTTTGATTCTGTAATAAATTATGTCTGCACCATAACTGCAGGCATTCCATTTTGTCATAAGATTCCTTTTTGTGTAGATATTAATGATAAAGTATGTTAATTGCTGTTCTAAATTAAAATATATTGTTAGAATTTAAATTATGTTTATTATACAATATATTTTTTGACTATTAAAATTATTTTAGTAAATGCTTAACTAGACTCATATATTTTCTAAAGATGAAAATCTTATTTTGGTACGTATACTCATATTTATCGAAAAATATGAATAAATTTCAAATAAAACACTGTTACAATCGTAATGTACTTATTACAATCAGTATAGTGTTTAACAGTCATTGCAGTTACGTTGAATTGTGTATTTGAATATTGTAATAAATAATAATACTTAATACATTATTAAATTATTAAGCTGTACCTACTGTTGTTCAATATGCACTTTAAACAAATTAAATAATATAGTAAAATTATATAAACACATAGGTAATTTGTTTGTAATTAATACAATCGAATGGACAGTGAATCCTTCTAAAATATATACTAGAGTACAATAAAATATTGAAACTGTTATTATTTAATGATCTCTAATTACATTCAATTAAAAATTAAACAATAACTTGAGTGGTATGTATTTTACATTTAGAATTAAATTAGATTGGCGGGATTTAAATATTTTGATAGATTAAAATAATGAAAAATACCACCCAGATAATATTTCCTTTCAGAAAATGCATTACACTTGAAAATCGGAGAAGGTTCCTGGGAGAAAAGTTGTTTCCAGAAAAAAAAAGTTAACATCACTATAAAACGTATACGTTCCTTGTTATGCTCCGAATCTAAAATATGAATATAAGTGATATTTAATTAATAGAAAGAGAAAGCATATTTAGGTAACAAAATACCAATAAATGCATAACTAATAATCTATTTATTAAACAAGATTTCATTTTAAGTACATAATTATAAAATAAAATTGATATCAACATTGTTAAGGTAATTAAAAGATGCACAAATTTAGATTTATAATATTTAAACAATACATATTCAATAGGCTCAATTAAATTCATTGTTAGACTGTTAGCATCCACCTAGTAATATTCTAAATACATCAAACCAAAATGATTTTTTTTCCAAAGGTGCTAACGTTTTCTTTCAACTTTTTGAGCTTTTTTCTTTTTATTGTCTTTTTTTTCTTGGGCCAATTGCTTTTGTTTTTCTCTGTAAAATATAATTTAAATCTTCGTAATTAAAGTATGAATGTATGACAATATATAAAACTAATATCTTCAACAAAAATCTTCTATCTATTAAAATCTTCTAAATCTTCTAAACTATCAATTAGATTAAATTCACATATTGTATGTATTACATAAAAATGTTTGTATTTGATTTAAGAGGACACTATATCCGCATGTGTTATGTCAGTCCAAGTAATGGGCAATATAGCAAAATCTATTTTACACAGACTATGTAAAATTCATTTAATTTTGGTTTTAGAATAAAAGCACCTATTAATAAAAGTAAAAGAAGACAATACGATGTGGTAATTTTTTTAAATTAATTTTTCGAAACGTTATAGTAATTTAAAAACAATGAATTAATTTTATTTCTAAACAATATATTGAACATTATATTAAAACGCACTGTCTTGCTCTATTAATTTATAGGCGTTTTCACTCTAAAACCAAAATTAAGAGAGTTCTGCGCAGTCTGCGTAAAGTAGATTAAACCATATTGGTTTTACTGAGCGAGCACAAGTGAATATGGCATCTCTTAAGGAGATTGGGAGTGGCAATTTTCCGCCCTTTGCCTTACATATGACTAATGTAGGAATTTAAACATGTTTAAGCAATACAAATTCAAAAAACAAATTAGAATTTGTTGTCAATTCTACTTGAAATTGACATTTCCACATTTTTTATTTTATCCTCTTAGATCATTAAAAAAGCCATGATGAAAAAAAAATAATAGAATTTTTGGAGAATTTAAAACAAAAAATTTAAAATAGTGAGGAAGTTTATCTCAAATAGACCTGACGTCAAATTCAAATTGTGAAATGCTTTCAGAATTCTCTTATTGTTGTAAATATCACATGTTAACATTTGTTTGTTACACGCGCATAATACAAAGATAAAAATATTCTGTTTCCAATAGGTACACATTATTTTGTATTTTTATACAATATTTATTAACTAGACACGACCATCAAATATGATAAACAAAAATTAAATATTCTAAAGTATGTGAACTAAATTATAGTTTTATTCAAATTATAATTTGAAATGCCATTAATATTTATTTAATTATGGAATGTAATAACTATAGAATTGTACGGCTTAACAAATATAACTATAAAACTAGATATAATAATTACCTGTCTTCTTTATCTTTTTCTTTTTTCCGCAAACTTTGTTCTCTGGCCCTTTCCCTTTGTTCTCTTTTTAATGCTACTACAGAACTTACATTGGTATTGTCTTCTATGTCTAAGTCATCCGATTCTTCTTCCTCAGAATTTGTTTCTTTCTAAAACCAAAAAAAATATAAAAAAATAGGTGCTAACTCACGCAGGCAACTATTTTAAATTTCAATAAATTGCAACTATTAGCTAGTTAAAATATGATAATAGAATTTACAATTTTAAATTTTTACGTAGGTATATAATGCATTATTTTAATAGTATACATACTTGTGCATAATGAGACAAAATATTTTTTCTAATTTTCATTAAATCTGAATCTTCTTCATTCGAATTTCGTTTGACAACTTTACTAGGAATAGACACTAAATTTCTCATATTATTTTCTAACATTTTAACCAATGTCTCGTCGTGGTTTTCGACAGGTTTATTTATTTCTTTGCTGTCATTACTGTCTGGAGTGTCATACATGTTTATTATTTCCATGCATTCAGTTTTCACTTCATTTACATTCTATATACAGCATACAAATATATTATTTTGTTTTACAACTTATGTGGTTTGTGTTAAACTTACTAATACTTCTCCAAGAATTGCCTCTAGAGCGTTGATCTTTTCAGAACGGTCTTCTTCGCCATCTAATACACTCTCTATATAATTTAAGTAGATTTCTTCATCCAACGCAAACTGTTTAAGTTTCGACGACAACCATACAGTCCTTGAACTTTTGTCCGACATAGTACTGGAAAATTACAAACAAATGAAAACTTTATTAGTAAGTCTGTAATACTATTAAAAGTCATTATTTTACCAGTTTTCTCGACCTCGAGTGCTGCTGTGGCAATGACCAGGGTAATTTCTTCGGGAGACAAAATGTTCACGATTTTATGAGCCTAATAATTGGTTATTTATTCGCAAAACTCAACGGCTAAATAGGGCGCCAAAAAACACATACCATTTCAAAAATGTGACTTTGTTGTCGATTTAGCGTTATCACAGTTTAACCGTTATCATATAATATTATCTCCATAATAAATGATAAAAATAAATAATAAACGGATAGATAAGTAAATAAATAAATAAATAGATAATATTATCTATAAACCTTGAATAAACGGGACGCGCAAGTTTATCAATGATAAAATTTTGGTCGTGTCGCAGGTATAATATGTGAATACCACGAATTCGAATGCGACGGAAGCCCGGGGTAACGCTTACTCTATGGATCGGCGAGCACACCGGTTACGGAAGTGGCTACAATTAATTAACGTGCGATATTAACCATAGGTGATAACGGTGAAAACGGTGAAAACGCGACATTCACCGATAACCAGCCGCCCGGCGGTCATCCGAATAAAAAATTCGGAAAACCATTCAGAGGCAGATCGATAGGTAATTACAATGTCAATAAACGTTGCCACGAATCGGATCGATTAAGACTAGTGTAAAAATGTTGTTCGCCATAAACCGGTGCCCGTGTCCGCGTGTAACCACTACGGTAACCAGTAGACTCTTCGTTCACAGCACACCGGGTGTAATTAGATATGGGGACGTCCTATTCGTGTTTATACCTATTATCGACGCGTGTCGGCACATTAACACGTCATATTGGACATTTTCTCACCCCGCCCCCCCTCAACCCCCTCCGCCAAGCCGCCCGAATCGGTTATAATCATACGTAGTTTTGTTTTAAAATTTTATTACCGTTTTATTATTATAGCAGATGAGGTTAGGATTTTTCCCGATACAGTTATTATTATTATTTCTCATTGGTGGAGCTAATCGAAAAAAAAAAAATCAATCCTAGATAGTACACATCTTGTTTATTATTTATATCTGCGGTCGTACATTAGCAATCTCTTTGGCGACCACGCCGTTGACGTTTATTAACAGTATCCGTGTCACCCTGTCGTTTCAATAATCGTAATTATTCTTTGTTTGTTTATAAAGAATAATGACGTGCGCAACGTTTACACCACGTCCGACCCTTGTTCGGTGTGTTTTCGATCTCGACGACTTTTTATAATACCTTTTAGTTTTTCCCGCCGAGTTCAACTGATTTTTTCCCGTCAGACTGTTGTCAGACGTTGTTTATGCACCTAAACCAATATAATTTGCGTGTAGTGTGTTCGACCGACTCACAGAACTTCACCAATGACGGACAAGACTCCAGGTAATATCCCGTACGTTTTCAAAACTATTTAAAATCTCATCAGATTATCAGTGTGCGTTGTGTATAAACGAATTTAAAGCGTCCGTCTGTTTTTTGTTTTTTTTTTTTTTTTTTATGCGTATTAATGAAAAAAAAACCGAAACAAACGAAAACCGTATTAAATCGGTATTGGTTAAAATCGATCGCGATCGGTTCTCTAAATAATTTTGTGTCGGTGCGCATCATGGCGGTTCGTCGGTTTTTGATGCTTTTCCAAACATGGTTGTGCTCACTTTTACCGAGGCTAGAAGGGCGTGCAATTTTCTTTAAGCGGGAAAACATTGATGATAAATATTTTGTAGCTTACTGATTATAGCGGGCGGAATTGATTGAACGATTGCGGTGCGGTGCGGTTTGCTGCGACTCGCTTTCGAATTTCGCTCTGAAAACCGGCCAAACAAATAGCGAAGACCGAAGGTGGTCAACTGTCGGGGACGGTGAGGGGGACGAGACATTTTCAATGGTGGAAATTTCGTGTATTCGAGATTCCGAGCGTGGCGCGGGAGCTATTTGAGCTAAACAATGCGGTTTATCTATTCGTTCTTGGCCCAGTCCGCGGCCACGTTTTCTCCTAGTGAAATTGCTCCGATTTTCACGTGTAGCGACTTCGCCGAAAGCTCGAGTGGTTGTTTGGATCGTACTGGTTATTTTTCGATTTTCGACGACATTTTTTTGTTTTTTTTTTTTAAATAAAAACACTTGAATGGGAAAAAACGCGGGAAAACGACGGTTTCGTTGTTTTATAAAAACGCGGACGGCGTTTTCTACCAGAAATAACGGTTTAATCGAAAAACCACACGACACCGTTTTTGTCGGCTTTTCGATTTACTTTCTTACGGTACCATTGCCAAACATTTCGAGCCACTTTTGAGTTTTTAAGGAATTTTAATTTTTTTTTTTTGTAGTTTGTTTTCTGTAAATCGGTTATATTTATAACCGATTTTCACGTAGAGACTTGACACATGGTAATAATACTTGTATTGGATTTACGTAGACGTGGTAAAATTTCCAAAACCGTCGGACGACTTTCTTTCTTTAAATAGGCGTTTTGAAATCAAATTTAAACGAAAATCACAAAAAATATTATGACTTTTTGAAATTATGTATTACCGAACTGCGCTCGGAATCGTGTTTCGTCAAACAATGGCTTATCGTTGAAATAAATGAAATAACCTTAAGTATCCTATCTTTCTAACTTCTTACGTACAACAGTGGGTGGTAAGCTCTTTTTTTAAATTTATGTTTGAAAAAATTGGATCGTATACACTTGCCCAAAACAGGGGTCCAATAAAACATAATAATATAATATATAGGTAGGTATCTGCCACTTTTACATGGTTTTATTTTTTTTTTTTATGGGATTTTACATAAGGATGTTTTAATGTGTTTTTGTTAAATATCAGTTGAAAACCCAAATCGTATTCAGTTATTAGTTAGAAACGTTGTCAATAATTGTACCAAAAATAATGTAGTCAAAATTGATTTAAAGTAATACCCCGTTTATTTATGGAATTTTCAAAACAGGTTATCATTTTAAAAACAAATGTTAGTATGGCCACAGTACAATACACATTAAATGTTGTAAAAAATCTAAGTATTCGAAATTATCGGCTTTAACTACGTTCTGAACGTATTCTGTTGTTGCGCTTGAAAACCGATTATTTAAGCATGGTAATTATTATTGTGTTTGTTGTATTAAACAATTAAAATATGCTATTCATATAATTATCATAATACTTCAACATTTTAACTTTTTAATAATCAGAGCTCTACTTAAGAATTTTGGGGCCGGGGATAATTTTTTTGATGGTTTCCCTAAATAAAATTATAAATTCAGTTTTTTTGATTATAAATAAATTATTGAAATCGTGATTTTAGATAAATAATTTTAGATTTTAGGCAGAGCGAGGAATGTATTAGTTTAAAAACAATGTTTTATTTTTCTGTGAACAATTTTTCTACCAGAAATCTTGCTCCAATTAGTGTAGCCTTTTTTCTAAGAAGAAAATTGACTGAGGTGGTACATTAGGAAGATATTTTTTAGATATTTTTTAGGGTTTTCCTTAATAAATGGGAATAAACGGAAAAATGTATGGAATTTATTATTTTCAAATCATATATATTACAGCCTTTTAAAAAATATATAACCAAACTCCGTGTAGAATCGGTTTTTCGTTTGCAATGGTTAATCGTTGCGTACAGATATCCATTATATTTCCCGTCTATCTTCCCAACTTCTCACCTTTAATAGTGGCCACCCACGTGCAAAGTATGTTCATTTTTTTTTTATTTTACAATTATTTGAACTATTTTTAACGGTATCATCTGGTAATTTTTTTACACTAAACGGGGTGTTCACTTAGCGTGTTTACCCCATTTTTATTATTATTATTTTTTTGTTTATTTCTCTAGTCATATTTTCGAATATTTCGATTTTTTAAAACATTTAAGGAGTATCCTGTAGCGATACTAACTGTCGTTTTTCAAATAAGAACCTACATTAAAAATTCGACAAATAGACGAAGTATTACTTTATATAAATTTTAATGTCAACATTTTTGATATCCGTCAACCTGTTAACTGGATATTCCACTTTTAAGTTTAGGTAGGGGAGAGTTTTATTGGAATATAATTTATACGACGGCATGGCGCGTGGCGTTTTATAAGTGCTCCACTACTCTCCCAGATATCCTTTAATAAAAAGTGCTATCATTTTAAATCGGTGTCAAATTGCTTGAAGTAAAGTTGTTCACAGGAAAAAAAAACCGAATATTATTTAACTAATACTTTTCGTACATTTTCCCCGTTTTTCCTCCGTTTCTTTTTGGTTTTTTTTTTTTTAGATTTAATGAGCTATCAACTATCAGATTACAATCAGATGTAAAGGCACACTTAAAGTCTTCTGGTAGAAAAGTTGAGCACAGATAAAAAAAAAAAGGTAAAGATCTTAATAAAATCATAAGCCATTTTCTCAGAGTTTTCTCATCAAATTTAAAAATCCGAAAAAAGAAAAACCGGAAAATTACGAAATATATTACTATTTTTTTTTTCTGTACACAATTTTTCTACCAGCAATTTTGCTCCAATTTATAATGATAGAAGTTTTTCTGAAAGGAAATCTGATTGGACGGTACTTGAAGGAGGTTATTTTTTCGATTTTCCCAAGAGTTTTCCAGACAAATGTGAAAAACCGGGATCAAACATAGGAAAACCAGGAAAAATGTAGGAAAACCGGGAAAATTGATATAAATATTATTGACGAAAATATAGAAATCCTATTTTATTATTATATTATAGAATGACAGATTTATTGTTGACAAAGCATCACTTTCAATTGAATTCCGCTCAAAATCGTTTTTATTTTCATAAACAACGGTTTATAGTTGCTTATACTAGTATATATTTAATTATTTATAACAGTGGCTGCACCCGTTCCCATTATCCTAAGACTTCTTTTGAAATAATGTATACCACCGGACACAAAATCTGCATCATTCGATAGACGATGCGAACAATTTGATTCCGTTTTAACAGTGATGGTCACTTCCGAATGATGTATAGTACCGTTAGTTTTTAATATTTTTGACGAACTGTCGAACGCTCCATTCAATTTTTATTTTCCTGACTGATTAGTTTTATTTAGATTTTGTCAAATTAAATTTGATAGAAAAAATCTATAAAGATATTAAACTTTGGTTTCATACCTATCTATGTGATAATCGCTAAATTATTTCGGATAAAACCACAAAAAAAAAAAAAAAAACATTAGTTTAAGACGTATTACAAAACAATTTTATTCTGTTCTGT